CCTGTGTGCCATGCTCCCGCAGAGCAGCACCAAAATAGTCACTGGGACCGTGCCATGCCCACAGCCTGAGGCAGCACACTCACCATCCCTCTGCTCTGGGGTGATCCCTAAGGAAAGCCTTTTCCCAGCAGCTGGGGTTCCCCAGAGGGAGAGCACAGTGCACGATGCCAGGCATGATGCCCACAGTGCAGGGCTGTGGGTGCCAGAGGGGCCGGGATGCACAGGGCGCCTGGGCACAGCCTGCTTGTCACAGCCAGGGGCTCTGGGAAGGTTGCGATGGGCTGACCCCCTCCCAGGGGATCACTCACATCCATGGATGCAGCTCTCCAGCTGGGCACTGCGCTGCACACCAATGAAACGGAGCTGCAGGTTTATTCCCACACCCAATTCATACCCTCAAGGAGCCAGGCGCTCCTGGGGGCCAGGAGATCCCTGTGGGCATCCTCTCCCTCCTCCTCCTCCTCCTCCTCCTCTCATACCCTTCCTTGGGCATCTGTGCCTGGCTCAGGGCTAGGGGTCTGCACAGGACAGAGCTGGAGATGAGCAGGACCTGGGCACCCCGTGTCCTGAGCCTGCCGTGCTCCCAGCGGAAGCACCACATACCCCTCCTAACTGTGCCTCTCCATGTCCTATTCCTCACCCTGGCCGTGCCAAAGCAGGGCTGGGGGCAGGCACGACTCGAGTGCTGCACAGGGGCTATGCCACCACCTCGGCCCTTCCGTACCCAGGGCCATGGGCTGTGTCCCGCCACCAAGGGACTGTGTGGCTACACCACGGGCACGAGCCGGGAGTGGCTCCTGTCCCCACGGCTCGGCTCAGACATACCTGAGTGCTGGGGCAGTGCTTACGCAGACACAGGGGCTGAGTCACTGCGGCGGGATCACCCGGCACGGACAGCGGCTCCAGGAAACGGCGCTTACGTGATGTAAACACATCCCGGCATTGTGCCGGGGCCCAGTGGCCCCGGGGGTGCAAGAGAGAAATCAAACCAGATCTGAGGTTTTTCATTAAAAAATAGTGCTCTTTATTATAAATTATGGAAACATTTCCTTTCTAAATATAAATATAAATATGTGCAAAGTTTCATCTGAGTTTGGTTTTGGTTGAATTTTCAAGCATGGTTTTGCTCAGCCCTCAAGGCTGGAGGTGAAGATGGAATCTTTATAAAAGACAGTGATTCACGTTGGCCTGTAAACATCCCTTCAGTTAAAAAAAATAATAAAAATTAAAAAAAAAAAGCGAGAAAAATCCAACCACTTCTCTGGGTGGATGCAGAAAAGCACTCATGAGACGACATGCTCCAGGGGATCCTCCCACCACGTTCCCGTGGGAATCAGTGCCCCATGGAGCAGCGTGGCTGGGGTCTGTGGGAGCGGCTGAGCAGAGGTGGGGTGCAACTCCTGGTAGTAAGGGCCCGGGGTCCCCGGGGTGCTCCTTGCAGACACAGTCATGTGGGACTCAGCAGCGTTGGGATGTGCCACTTCCCCTCTGGCTTCACAGCACATCAGCAGGACTTTCACCACGCAGCGCCACCAAATGATGTGCAGTAACCCAGATTGCGGGACAGGGAGAATATTAAGGCTTAGTCCCCTGGGAAATGGCAACGAGGGAACAAAGGCAGCAACCTCCAAGTCTGGGGCCTGATGTGAAAAGAGCTTCCACCCACAAGGAGGCAGTAAGAGGTAAAGTACAGTATGGGCAAAAAACACCTTCCCCTTAAAACCGAGGAAAAGCGAACAGGCACTCCTGGGCTCCAGTGCTTTCAGTTCCTGGGGGCGGAAGGGGCTCTCACCAGGACATCCCCAGGATGGGGCTGCCGAAGTGCTCGTTCCTCTGTGTCATGGGAGCCATCCTGGCTGCCCAAGCCCACAGGAGCTTTGCCAATGGGCTCACTGTAACATCCACAGTCCATCTGGAGCCATCCCCCTTCCCTGTGCAGAGAGGGTGTCGTGCTTCCTTGGGGGTCCCCCCAGCACCAAAGGTGGCCAGCTGTGCTGGCCACAGCCCTGGCCCCACAGTGGCTTTCCTCAGTCCCCCTCATCTCCTTCCCAGAGGGAGAGGCTCAGCGTGCCCTGTGAGCTCCCACGCTGGTGGGGCATTGTGCCTGTCCCTTGCTCTTGTGCTTGTAGCGTGTGACCTTGCTCTGCCAGCCCCTTAAAGGGGGGCATCATACTGGTCCAGGAACTCCTTGATGGGGGCTGGCAGCTGAGTCATCTTTTCATAGGAGTCCAGGTGCCCGTTGACGGTCTTGCGGCAGAGGTGCTGCAGGGTGGAGACGCTAGAGGAGAGCGGGCGGCTCAGCACCAGGGGGATCTTCTCACCACCTGAGTAGATGTAGTAGGTGCGCTTGGGGTGCAGGGCCCCCCCCGACTGCTCAGGGACGGCGCAGGGCGCGGGTGGCATGTAGTGATGGACCAGCTTGAGCACACAGTCAAAGCGGGGCACGGGCTGGCTGCTGTGGGGGTCGCTCTGCAGAGAGAAGCTGCCACCCTCACACTGGATGCGCAGGTTCTTGGTGCCTGACTCCGTCTTGACGCTGAGGGTGAAGAAGTGCCGCTGGTCTGAGCTGTCCCTGATGAGGAAGGTGCCGGCTGGCTCGGTGCTCAGCAGTAGGTTGGCCTCGCCACCCGTCACTGTGCTCCAGTAGAAGCCACTCTCCTGCAGCTTGCGCACGGTGTTCACCACCAGCTGGTACTCGCTCTTGGAGCTGAACGTCTTGAGGCGCAGGCTGGTGTCGAGGGGGTGGCTCATCCCGGCAGCGGGGAACTTGCTGTGGGTGACCATGGCGCAGGGAGCCAGCTTCGCGTGCTTGGGGTGCTGCTGCCAGCAGCAGCCGCTGCTACACCATCACCTGCGGCAGAGACAGCGGTGAGCCACGGCACCTCCGTCCCCGACTCTCTCTTCCCTAGAACATATGTACCCTCGGTCCCTGGCTCTTGTCCCCCAGCATCTCCGATTCTCCCTTTCCACGGCACCGGCACCACCGGTCCCCGTCTCTCCTTTCCCGGGGGCGCCGGCAGCTCCCGTCCCCGGCTCTCCGCTAGCCGGGGGCACCGCTTCTGCCGGTCTTCTGCTCTCACTTTCCGGGAGACATCGCTACCTCCGGCCACCAGCTATCGCCCCGCTGGGGCACCAGCATCCCCGGTGATCCCCTTCTCTGGGCAGCAGCGGCAACCCCGGTCCCCGGCTGTCCGTTCCCAGTAGCACAGGCAGCCCCGGCCCCGGCTGTTGCCCCGCCGGAGCGCGAGCATCCCCTGCTATCCCCCTTCCCTGGGCAGAACCGGCATTCCCGGTCCCCGGCGATCGCCTCCCCGGAGGTACCGGCTTCCCCGGCGGCGGGCTGTCCCCCCTCCTTCTCCAGGACCCTGTCCCTTCCCGTCCCTCCCGGGGCCGTACCTGGGGCGCGGGAGCCGGTCCGGCGGCGGAGCGAGGCCGGTGCGCGGCGGCAGAGCTGCTGGGGTGGCCCGGGGAGGCCTCTTATAGAGGGCGCAGCGCCCGCCCTCGGGTTCCTGGAACTGCGCGGCTTCTTGTAACGCGGCGGCGCCGCCCGCGCCCCGCCCGGCCCGGCCCGGCCCCCCGGCGCCCCGCCAGCCCCTGCTCCGCCAGCCTCGGCCTCGCCGGCCCCCGGCCCGGCCCCGCCAGCCCATTCCGGGCAGGGCGGCCGCCCCCGCCCCTCCGCGCCCTGCTCTGCGGAGAAAGGGAGAGCCCCGGCCCGCCCGCCCTCCCCCCGGGGGCCCCCGCTACCCCCCGCCTCTTCTGGGGCGCCAGGACCCTGGCCCCGGAGAGGGGTTTGGGCTCGGCTGACGGGGGGTACAGCGGATGGGGATACAGGGGAGGGGGCGGTGACCCCGGGGGGTGAGGACAGCGAGGGGAGACACCGGGACGGGAGCTGCCGCCGTGCTGTGGGGCAGCGGGTCTCACGTCCCCACATCGCCAGCCCTCATTTCCAGGCCAGCGTGCCGGGCTGCCGCCGGTGTCGGCCGCGCTCCCCGGGGGACCCGCGGGGCAACACGGGGAAATCCGCTCCCGGGGCTGTGCGGGGGCTCCCGGCTCCGCCGCGGTTCAGCCATCGCTCCCGAGTCCCCCTCCGTGCGGCGGCTTCGAGAGCCCCGCGACGCTCCGTGGGGTCGGTGCTTTGGCCGGTCTGGGGGCCTTGTGGGCTGGTGTGGAGCCCGGTGGGACCAGGACCCCCGGCCCCCGCTGCCCCCTCGGGGCTCTGTCGAGGGGGTCCCTCGCCCCTCCTCCCTGCCCCCCGGTGGGTGGAGCGGGGCCGGGGTTTCCCTCCCCGATTTCTCTGCATTTGGCATTGGTTACGACCTCGCACACAAGCCGGTCTCGGTCCGTGGGTTTATTTTAAACAGTTTAATTTTCCCCGGAGGAGCCGCCGGTGCCCGGCAGGGACCAACCCAGCGCTGCAGTTCTGGGAAGCGCCTGTGGCGAACGGGCTGCTCTGAAATGCAAACGAGACCCGGAGCGCTGCCGGGGCGGGCAGGGGACACCGGGGGCGGGCCGGGGCGGCTCCGGGGCCCCAGGGCGGGAGCGGGCGGGGGGATCTGCGGTCCCCGGGCTCCGCCTCGCCCTGCCCGCTGTGGGGGAACCGAATCCGACGGGGAGTGGGGGTAGGGGTGGTGCGGGCGCTTCCCTCCACCATCGTCCCGAGGGGCGGCCGGTTCCGCCGCGGGCAGGAGCCGGGTCCGTCCCTTCGGAGCCCCTCGGCCGGGCCGGGGCTCGCCCCGGGGGGAGGAGAAGGAACACCTGGGTGTGACACGGCTCGGGCCGTGCGTGAGCCCGTCCCACCTATACGGGGACCAGGGGAGCCTCGTCCCTGCCCCGCCGGATACCGAGCCCTTCCCGAGCGCCTCCTGGCCCCGTGCCTGGGCCGGGGCCCCCCTGCAGGCGCGGGCCGGGCCCGGGCGGGGCGGGCGCGGCGCAGCCCGGCGGCGGAAGCGGAAGCGGAAGGCGGTGTGGCCATGGCAGCGCGGAAGCGGAAGGCGCGGGCGATGGCGGCGGGCGGCGTGGTGTTGTGGCGGCGGCTCTCGGCCTGGCTGCCCCCGGCCTGGCTGTCCCGCGGCCGCCTCGGCCTGTCCGCGCTGCTCGGCCGCCTCTCTGACCGCCTCTCCCGCGGCCGCGACCGCCGCGCCCGCAGGTAAGGACCGGCCAGGCCCCGCCGGCTGGCCCCGGGCCCGGGAGGTGTCGCGTTACCGGGGCTCCCCCGCTCGCCGCTTCCCTTTTCTGGTCCAACCGAACCCCTTGGAAGCGCTGCGGATAGGCAAAGGGGCGGCCCGGCTCCACCTGCCCTGAGTCGGGTCCGGCTCTGCTCCGCAGCCCCCTTTAGCCCGCCCCACTGTCCGATCGCCCTTAGCGCCACAGCTGACTTTCATTTCTCCGTCAGTTCCTGTTTTCTGGTCGCTCGGGCACTGGCCAGGGCCAGGACCAGGCTCCCCTCGGCTGTCATAGGAGCAGCACAACCCGCGCGGGCCGGGGGGGTCGGGGAGGGCGAGACCCCCCCCGCGGAAGGGGCCGAGAAGAGGTGTCGGTCCCGGCCGTGCCAGGCAGAGAGGGCTGAGGGGCAGGGGACGCTCTGCCCGACGGTGTCACCACGGTGGTGGAGGAGATGGATCATCAGTATGCTCTGTGTTCTTGGTTAAGCCAAGGAAATTCTTTCCACACCTATCTTGGTCTCATCAGTATTTTTAGCGCAGATAAATGAGACTGAGCCCTGGAAAGCGACTGAGTTCAAAGAGCAGCAGTGCAGATCCCCATGTGTACGTGGGTGAAAGGACAGCGCCGTGTCCCACAGTTTCACTTCACCTCTGGCTCTCCAGATGGGGTTTGACGGTGAATAAGAGTTTCAGCTCCGTTGTGGGTGTCTGTATGAAAGCCGTGTCTTTAAAAATAGAACACACACCAAAAAATCCCTCATTTCTATTTTGGGTCGGCTTTTTATGCAGAAGTGGTTTGAGGTGGTTCCTTTTGGTTCCGTTTTCTCTTTTCAGTTTCCTCAGTGATGTGGAGTAGGGATGGGAAGGGCTCCCCCGCCCCATTTTCTGTTCTTCTGAAACCTGGTTTGTCACAGTGTGGAATTTTGATGATTTCTTCATAATGTTATGTGGTTTCTGGCAGTGTATGCAGGGTTGGAGGGATTGGTGGTACTTGGGTACTGAGCTGATGTCAGTCACCAGCGGGTAGAAGCTGCTGCTTTGGGAGCTGGTTGCTGTGCCAGTGATTCTGTGGCTGGAGCAAAATACAGATTTATCTGATAATTCTAGAAGAGAGTAGGCTCCCAACACTGAATAAGGTGTAAATTTCAGTATTGGGTTAAAAAATCAAACAGTGTAGACACACTGTAAATTCTGTAGGCACAAAAAAATCTGGAGGATGGAATTAGTGGCGATCAGCTGAATTGCACAGAACTAATCTGAAGGCTCAAACCTTCAGAGGCACAAAAACAGTGCTGGTGCTGCTGGTTGGTGTTCCTCCAAATGCTCTGATCAGAGCCCAAACGCTCCAAGCACAGCCTGCAGCCCCCAGAGCTGCCCCAGGCCATGGCAGGCAGGTGCAGTCGGCCTCGCAATTCCAATAGTCCTTGCCAGAAGATGGCTTCTGGGAATCGTTTTTCTGGAAAGCGTCTGCTTGGTTGCTGGTCTGGCTTCTGAAAGTGTAATTCGATTGGCCAGTGGCATAATGTCTACAGTATTCATCTCTGTTGATTTTTATTGTAAAATACATAAAATTTGCCACTGCTTTCTTACTGGGAATAATTCCAGAGAATGTTGTTTGTGACCCTCAGGGCCAGGTTAGAGCCTGACTGTGCCACTGCTCTGTGGACCAAGCATTCGGTGCATTTAAAAAACCCGTATTTCTGGATCCAGTGTGAATCCCTGTAGTTCTGTGTGCTGTGCTGCCTCGTGATGATGGAGCCGTGGAAATCTGCTCCCTGTTTTGTGGCCTGTGAGATGTGACATGAGCAAAGGTCCTACTCAGATTCTGTAGATACTGACGAGAATGTGTCTGAGAAATGATATTTCTTGTGTTTCTGTTCTGCTTTGATATTTTTGGCACCTTTTAGGGGATATTTGCATTGGTTTTAACATCTTGTGCTGGTGATCTGTGTCACTTCTGGGTGTGCAGGCTGAGCCCAGTCCACATGATCTGTTGAAATTCACCATCCCAGGAATTCCTGCACAGATTGACTCAGATTTTGGTGGCGATGAATAGTCAGTGAGAAACTCGTGGATTTTCCAGGAAACACCACTGCAAATTGGTTTCCTTGTAAGGGTGTTCGGAAATCTTGTGAAGATCCAGGGTTGTATCATGAACCAGATGAGTGAAATCATCTTCCTGGAATCTGTGGTCATTTGGGCTCTGGACTGTGGTAAAACCCAAAAGTTCCTTGTAACAAATTCTGGTAAAGGTTGTAATCAAGTTTCTTCGTGGTGTGTGGTGGCAGTGGAATCATAAGGATGTGCCACAGGATGGTGGCTGCCTGCTGTTCCTCGACCAGCCACTCCAGTTCCGTCCCCACAAACCCGACTCCCGCAAGCAGGGTTTGCAGACTGGAATGGTTCCTGTCGGGTCTGGGGATGCAGTTCAGTCCCTTGCTCATGGATTCCTGGATCTCATGGGAGCTGCTGCTGCTAATTGTGTTGAAATGTGGTTTTGTCATGTGGACAGAGTCCTGCTGGGGGTTCTTGTACGACTGGATGAATTTGTGTGCGCAAAACCTCTGGAGAGAAAAAGTTGCCACTTGCTTCCTGTCACCCCCAGCGTGATGCTGGCAGCAAGCTGTTTTTCTCCTGGAATGATTTCAAGGGAATTAACTTTGTTCTGAAGTGTCTTTTTGAAGAATGAGCTTCCTGCTGTTTCCCTCACAGTTTTGTGAGGTTTGCAAGGGAAGTCGTGATCCTCTTCTGTACCTGTGCGGAATGCTGGCAGCACTGATGGAGAGGGATGGATCCCTGTGCTGGTTCTTGGCGTGTTACTGCTGAGATGCACTTGCTCCTTTAGTGGGTCATTCTTGAGGTGTGACTGCCCTGTCTTTGCTGGGGCTTGTGCTGGGGCATCTTGTGTGCTGCAGTTCTATTTTTGGATAAAATTAAGGGATTGAGGCATTTTATTCTTTAGAGCAGTGTGATCTTTAAATGTCTTTACCTCAAACAGGAACAACTTCAGTCCAGCTGGGAATGAAGCTGGACATGAGGGGAGTGTTGGCCATGGCCAAACTGATGCATGTGTAATTCAGAAGTGGCTGATTACAGGTACAGGTGGTACCACTGCAGCACCGCCAGACACCTGAGCACCCACACCCTCAGTTTCTGCAGCTCCCAGGCTCCTTCCTTTCCTATATTGTCCTGAAGAAGGAGTTGTTTCTCCTCATCTCCCTGCTGGCTTGGGGAAAGAGTTGGTGATGTTCAGATCTGTTCTGCCATCTTTTGCTTGTGTTTCTGTTCCTACATCTGGCTTTGGTGATCCAGCTGGGATTACGGAAAGGGAAAGGCATTCTTGCCACTGTGGATCCCTGCCGTGTATTGGCCCTGGCTGCGACTCTTTCTTTACCTCCTTGGAGGCTTTGTGGGAAGCAAAGCCTTCACCATAAAGCATTGCTCCATCTTTCTTTCCACAGATCATCATGGCTCCTTCTAGCCCCGCTGCTCAGCCCTCCTGTTCCAGTGATCACAGCCCCACCATGTTCGCTCTGTCCAGAAGGAGCACACAGGTTCCAGTGGATCAGGAATCTGGTCCCAGAGTTTGGGATCTCCAGCTCACACGTCAAGGTGCTTTCATCCCCTGCAGAATTCTATGAACTCCTGAAGGTAAGGCTCCAAGTTATGGGAATGGTTTTGATGCAGTCCCAGTGTTGCAGCTGCTGCCAAGTAACTGCTCTTTTATGGAATAGTTTTAGCTGCAGGGAATGAGTTCCTCAGTTTCCCAGGAAGCGCTGATTTCTTCCTTGAATTTTGGATGCAGCAGTGGTGCTGCTATGGCTCTGCAGACCCTCTGTGTCATCCCTATCCTTGTGTCACCCTTTCCTCCCTCAAGGCCGGGGAGCCAGTGTGGAGATGTGGCTGAAGTGATCCTCCTGGGGCACTGCTGGGCCTGGGCTGATGGCTCCTGGGGACCCAGCATGAAACTGAACTTGTTTTCTGCTACTGCCAGGCGCAGATCAAAGCAGCTAAGCAGCGAGTGGTGATGGCCTCACTGTACCTGGGAACAGGGCTCCTTGAGCAGGAGTTGGTGAGTGTGGAAGGGTTTGGGAAGGGTGGGAAGGGAGTGCAGGGGAGGGATGTGGAAGGGAGACGCTGGGCATTTCTGGTTTAGACCTGGTACAGAGCCAGGGAACTGCTGCACTTCTTCAGTGGATGGTGAGCCTGGGCCTGTTAGAGGGGACCAGCCTGGTGTTCACATTGCCCAGGGGCTTTGCAGAACCTGCGTCATAGGAATCTGTTTTTCCTTGGTGTTTTCTTGAACACGATTGAAGCTATAGGTGTAGAGTGCTGTGTTTGGTACTCCAGGTGCAGAACACAGATTCAGGATTGTCTTTCTGCATGAGACCAAGGTCAGCTTTGCATTTTCTGTTCTTCCCTCTGGAAACAAATCATTATTGCCAGGGGCTTTAGGGAGAAGCCTGGCCTTGGTCAGGTTCTGGTATTAGGATGCAAATTCTCTGACAGTGCAAAGGCGGACAGAGCCTGCACAGAATTTGTGCCCAGCTTTGTCTGGGCTTGCACACAGGATTTGAATTTGCATGTGACAAACAGCCTTGTAGTTAAAGAATAAAATGGCCTCTGCAGTGAACTCCTACCAAGGTTTGTCTTTGGTGATGCAATCTGTGATTTGGGAATGATGTTGGGATTTTTTCTGCTAACATTAATTGCTCTTGGGAGGCCTGAAGAATGTGGGCGTGTAAAACTGAGGCCTTTTGATCTGTGGCTTTAGGCTGACTGAAGCTGCCAGGCTTGCAGAGGCAAAGGCTGAACCGACTGTGTTTGGCACAAGAAGGAAGGACTCACACCAGGCCGTGGGAGCTGTCCTGGCCACAACCTCCTGCTGCTGAGCACTTCTCTTGGAAAGCTTTATTTGCTTTTGTAATGAGGAGAGAACTCTCTCTGCAGGTGGATTGCTTAGAAGAAACGCTGGAGAAATCGCTGGAAGCAAAAGGCTCGCCTGATCTCAGAGTTTCCATTCTCCTGGACTACACCAGGGGCTCCCGGGGTAGGAACTGTGCTTTGCTTTTGTCAGAACCTGATTTTACTGTTAGGCTGGAGGAACTTTTTTTCATAGAGGCTGTCTTGGCCAATTGGACATACTTACTTAAATCATGCACCTTTCAGTATTTGCCTTTTGCATTCCAGAGCTGCATATTCCCAGAAAATCTTCAAGCTTAGCAGCTTTTCTTCCAAAAATGGGTGATAGGAGCAAGAAGGGCCAAACTCCTCTGTGCAACCTATGCGTTCTTGCTTGGTTCACTTGTCAGTACAATTGCCCTTATACCTCATGCTCTCCAACATTTCCATTTTGGAAGGAGAGTGGAAGTTGTTGGAAGCAGCACACCGAATCAGGAACCTCTGCAGTGACTCTTGCAGATGTGTTACCAGTGCTGATGAGGCATGATTAAGAAACTTGAAAGGTGTCAGACCTGCTCTGTGACTGATTCCAAGGCCCATTCATCCATGAACTTACAGTTCTGGATGTTGGTTTCAGTATTGACGTAGTGCAAATGAAAGTGATTTGGAAAAAAAAAAAAACAAAGAAAAAAGGGAAAACCAGTGAAGTGCCAGTGAATGGGATGGGATGGGTTGGGTGCTTACCTTGTAACTGTAACATGAAGCTGTGAAATGATGTGTCCCGTCTGTGTGATCCTTGTATGAAACTCCCCTTCTCTCCCAGGCAGGAAGAATTCTCGGACAATGCTGATCCCGTTGCTGCAGCGATTTCCTGAGAAAGTCCGTGTGTCCCTCTTCCACACCCCAAACTTGCGTGGACTTCTCCGGCTCCTGATTCCAGAGCGTTTCAATGAGACCATAGGGCTGCAGCACATCAAGGTGTATCTCTTTGATGACAATGTGATCCTGAGTGGGTGAGTCCTGCTGCTGTCTGCTGGCGTGGTTCCTTTTGCTGGGATTTGGGCATGGTGTCTGTGCTGCCAGAGTTGTCTGAACATCTGGACTTTCCACCGTGATCCTATTATTGCTCTTTGGAGATGGGAGAGCAACTGCAGCTCTTGTTTATGAGATTCTCAGATGGAAGAAAGTCTTTCTCAAAGGGACAAAAGAAAGATCTCTTGGGATTCCAAAGGAAACGGACAATTTGTGCTTTAGTGAGGTTATCGCAAAGTGAGGCCTGTAGCTGGGCTGGGGGGTTGAGGATCCTGTGCCCACACTCTGAACTCAGCTCTTCCCTTTCTCTCCAGTGCAAACCTGAGTGATCTGTACTTCACCAATCGGCAGGACCGCTATGTCCTGCTGCAGGACTCTCCAGAGATTGCAGACTTCTTCACAGAGCTTGTGGATGCGATTGGGGACGTGTCCCTGCAGTTACAGAGAGATGATACAGTCCAGATGATGGAGGGGATGGTACACCCATACCGAGGTAGGAGAGAGCTGTCTCACCTGGTTGAGTGATGGTATCCAGGGGAAGGGAGTGACAGCTGGGGTTTAAGGATGCCTTGAACTCCATCCACTTGGGAATTTCTGGATGCCTGACCGTTGTTCAGATTATGGGGTTTCCTGTTTTGTGCCATGCCATTAAAATCAAGATTCCTCAGATTTCAAGACTGGGTCTATCGGAGTTTTCCCAGCACAGTGGCTGTCACAGGCTAATCCAGCAGGGCATGCAGAGGCTGGAAGTAACTCTGCAACTGTCTCAGTGCTTCCTCATAAATGTGCTGCTTTTAGCCTTAAACAAGAACTTCAATACCTTGAGAGTTTTTTTCTGATATTAGCAGCTGCAGTTTCGGGTGTTCTGGGTGTGTGCATGAGCGGTTCATGAATGTGGTGCTATTGTTGGCAGTTAATATTTTGTAGTAGAGTTTGTTCCTGGAATCAAATGGGAATTGGATCAGGAAGACCGGGAACAAGCACAGGAGTGGGCAGAGAAGGGCAGCCACGTGCCAGGCTGATTGCGTCATCAGGTTTTGTCCTGGCCTTGCACTGCTGGGTGATGTAAGCTTAGTCTGGGGGCGAGGGTTTCTTTGTGTGTTCCAGCTCATTCTTTGTTGCCAGTTTAGCCTTGTCCTGATCCTTTCCTTTCTCAGAGGATTTTTCAGGCTGCTGCCAGTTGCTGAATATTTCTCTTCTGTGACGTAGCTCTGCCAACCTTGAAACAGCTGGTTTGGGCCTCAGGACAGAGAGTCGTGTCCGCTGTGTTGGCTCCTGTTTGTTCCCATATAGGTGTTTTTCCTGGTAGGTAATAGGTGACACATAGCTCTGTGCCTGTAGGTCTCAGACATCATCTCTTGGCATTTTCCTGCAGGAGACAAGGCTGCTTACTGCGAGATTGCCAACCGGAGGGTCATGGAGGTCATCAACTCTGCCCGGACACGGCAAGAGCTCCCTCATGCAAAGACTTTCCACAGCAGCCATGCAGACAGCTCCCTGTTATCCCAGCAAGGCTCTGAAACATCTGGGGGTCTGAAACCAGAACCCGACACCTGGATCTATCCATTAATCCAAATGAAACCTTTTGGTATTCAAATAGATGAGATGGTCACAGAGACACTGCTGACCGAGGCTGAGCGGGATGCCAGGATATACCTCACCACTGGCTACTTCAACCTGACTCAGGCCTACATGGACCTCATCCTGGGCACGAGGGCCGAGTACCGGATCCTCCTGGCCTCGCCAGAGGTCAATGGGTTTTTTGGTGCCAAGGGGGTGGCAGGTGCCATCCCTGCTGCCTACGTTTACATTGAACACCAGTTTTTCAGCGAGGTGTGCTACCTGCAGCAGCAGGAGAGGGTGCAGCTGCAGGAGTACTCCCGGGCCGGGTGGACGTTCCATGCCAAAGGTAAGATGTCCTTATTGCAACGGGACTTATTCAGAGGTGTGTGAGAGCTGTGTGTTTGGATTGTGCAAGGAGAAAGGGGCTGGCTGAGTGCCAGCCTGGGCTTAACCTTCAAAACACTCCTTCAAGGTTTGAACAACTTGGTTGCGTAAACCTGAAGGATTTGAATTGCTTGGGGGACGACTGTGCAGTCATGCCTTGCCTCTGGATTTCTGGTTTGATACAGCCCCAGGGATGATGCAAGAGCTGTCCCTGTGGTGGCACGGAAGCACTGCCTGGATGAGAAACATGATGCAAAGAAAAGGAAGCATTTGGATGTGTTTATGATGCCGTCAGGGCTGTGGCACAGTTTCTCATGTCCCGTGGTCTGGTTTCAGTAGTCGGGAGTGCAGGCTCTGCTGGGGACCCTGGAGCAGGATCCGGGACAGGGGCAGGAGGGGAGCTCCTGCCATGTTCCCTTGGCAGCAGGTCTGGGGGATTTGTTGCAGCTCCTGTGCATGGCACACAGGGGTGTGGTGTGTGAGGAACTGCAGAGTGTGCATCTGAGAGTCAGGGCAGCCAGAGGGGAAGGGGCTAAGGAGGGAACATGGACTGACAGATGCAGTGAGTTAATGAATGCTGTCCTTGGGGTCTTCTGTAGGACACCCCACATTCCTGCTGGATACAGTGTGCCCAACTCTCACAGGATCAACACAGTGCTCGGTTGGAGTGTTTGGCTGTGAACTGGAGCATTTGATTTGGGATAAGAGCATTTTGGCTATGATTGGCTGTCATTGGAGAGGTTCCTCTTTTGGAGAACAGCTCTTAATGGTTGTGAGAATGCCTCCATCTCCCTGCTTCCCACATGGATACTCAGAGGAAGGAAGGTTCAGAGGTAGTGGGGAGGGAAAGCTGCTGAGTCGGCCTTCTCTTGACTTGAAAATCCACAGGTGTTACCGGCTGCCTCTGTGTTGAAACCACAAACAGATCTCAGGGTGTCGTGCTCCTCCTCAGTGCTATCGGGAACTCAGCACAAGGAAACCCTTATCTCAGGCAGGGCAGCCCGTGGGAGGTGCCTGCCTGCCCCCTGGGGTGTCCCGTGTCCTCCAGGAAGAACTTGTTCAAGCAACGTGTGGTTACGTGTTTGCTGGGCATCGCTGACTGCCAGTGGGATGTGATTTGGCATGGATTGAGGTCAGAAGCGTGGGCTGCTTTTCCCAGCTACCAAAGTGCGTGTGGCCGTTGCTTCTGTTTGGGCCAGCTGTCCCTCGTGGGGTAGTGCTTTGGGCTCTCTGGTGTGTGGTGTTCGCTGGGAGAGGGATTCAGGGCTTGGAGTTCAGCGGCTCCGGTGTCTGGCAGGGGGACAGTTGGAGACATTTTCTCCATGTTTTCATTCCTCTTCAGAGTGCTAGAAGGATCAGTGTGTAGCTCCTTCTCTGGCATGCTCTGCACTTGGCACATGCTTTATTCACTGGGTTTCCTTCTGCAGGAGTCTCATGGTGTGTGTGGCAGAGAGGACAAGGATGGAAGAAGGAAGGGAGAAACCTTGGAGATATGAAGAGCAGGTGTACATGGAGCACGTGGAACCTGGCTTCTGGCCGAGGACATGAGATCCCCAGCAGCCAATAGTGCCCACTGGTGCTTTCTCTGTGGGCTGAGACACGAGGCACCCTTTAGTCTCCCACAGGATCCGGCTGACATACCTTAAACCCTGTAGCTGTGCTGCAGCCCCCTCCTGCTCCCCTTAAAGCATTTATATCTGCACAGACAGCATGAAGTGGTGCATCCCCAGGGATGTCTGTTCTCAGGGATGACTGTCCTGGGTGTGTTTGGCGCTGTGCAGGTGTAGCAGTGCAGTGCAGGTGTAGCAGAGCACGGCACAGGTGTGACAGCACCGTGCAGGTGTAGAAGAGCTCTGCACAGCCATGGTGCACATGTGAGCAGGACTGCCAGCAGCTGTCGTGGTGTGACACCCTGAAGCCTACCTGTGCTCTGCTGTGTTCCCAGGCGTGGTGGTATGAGTGACACGAACTCCCTTGGGTTCAGAGTCTCTTCCAGGCAAGTGCTGGTGTCAGGGTGCTGGACAGGTGGCTCTGTGCTGAGAGATAAACCCCGTTACTACTATTGACTGGTGCTGGGAAACTGCACTTCCCCTTTCTGGAAAGGTGAGTCACTGTTTGAGCAGATCCTGCCAGGTGGCCATAAAAACAGTACCACAGGACACTTAGGAAGGCGAGGAACCTGTTCCTTGTAGCTACTGCCTGGGCAGAGGTCTGGCTAGCAGCTGGTCAGGCACTGAGCAGCTCCTGGCAGGGTCCCGTTCGGTGACAGAACATGCCAAATCTCTGCGCCACACGGGTGCTTCCCTTTGGCTCCCAGAGCCCACGATGGGCTCTCTGGCCCCTCTGTGGTGGGGTGAGCCCGTGGGGGCCGGACATGCTGTGGCCTTAGGGCAGTGCCAGCTCCGTGAGTGTGTGCTGTGGGGGCGGGGAGGAGGTTACAGGAACTGGCGGTGAATCAGCAGCGTCTTACTCAAGGCATTCTTGGAACTGCTCTGGGGCTGAGTTAGGAAACTTGCTGCTATTTTAAGGCTGAGGTGGTTTTTATGCTACGGGTTCTTTGTTGCAGTTTGTGACTGGCCATGGGGATAAGCCTCTACCAGGGACCCACCCAGGGCTGTGCTGAGGAGAGCAAATGCTTCCCGTCTCCATTTGTGCACAGAGTGGCCATGCAGCCTCTTCTTGGCAGCAGTCCCGGCTCTCCTGTGGCTGTTCCTTCCTGCCCTGCTGCAGTGGTGTGTTTGAGAATAATGTGTTGTTTCCATCTTTGCCTTGAAAATCCATCCTGGGCTGTGTCCTGACTGCTCTCTGTGCGGGCAGAGCTGTGGGAGCTGTGGTGGTGAGGGGCTGCAGGGACCAGGTGCCCTGGGAAGAGTCTGATCTCATCCTAGGTGGCTCCTCAGGAAGTGAGGGGTTGAAATAATTTGCACTTCTCTTCTGAGTCTCTATTTCATGTGAATTCACCTGTCAGAGCAGCCTCTGCATGTTACAGTCCCAGAAAAGCGGTTGGTCTCTGGGACAGGCTGGACAGGCCTGTTTGCCTGGGGCTCTGGGGCTGGTTCCTTCACTGAAAATCTGTTTATCCTCTTTCAGTGTTTCTGAGATTTACCATGGTGCAAAACAGCCTCTAACGCAGTGACAGGGACTTGTCCTGAGTTGTTTTGGGGCAGTGTGTCCTTGGGGTTCTCTGAGGGTGCTACCCCCCTGGTCAGGGCACTCCTCGGTACAGGGTTTGGGTCGTGCCTTGGCATCCCATGAGTCACATGCAGTGTCACAGCCCTGTGGGCTCTGCTGGGCCTGCTCTCGGGGTCCTGTACAGAATCTGTAATCCACATTTAATGGTGAAGGGACAGTGTGAGCCCACCTCGGCTGTCCCCTCAGGCTGCCACGCTGCCTCTCCTCTCGTTTTTCCCACAGGCCTCTGGCTGTACCTGGCAGGGAGTGACCTGCCCTGCCTGACCCTGATTGGCTCTCCGAATTTTGGATATCGATCGGTTCATCGTGATTTGGAAGCCCAGGTTGCGATAGTGACAGAAAATAAAGCCTTGCAGCAGCAGCTCCATCAGGTAAGCAGTGGATTCTGGGGAGGCAACGGGGATGTTGTGCTTCTGGGTTACACAGGGAATGCTGATGACGCAGTGGCAATAAAAACATCCAGCTGTAATAACTCAAAAGCTGCTGGAGCATGAGGAGTCCTGAGGAGCTGTCAGTGAAGTGACTATTGATGAGCTGCCTGCTGCGAGTGCCCAGTGCTGGGAAATGAGGCTGTAACAGGAAGGAACGCGTGTCCCCAGTGACCTCGGATACCGGGAGTGCTCGGGGCTAGATGTGCAGAGAGTGTTCAGAGTCTGCTGGCTCCTCTGCTCACCGACCACACTGCACCTTCTGGGCCTTAATCCCAGCATTTGGGCATTGCCAAGGCTGTGCTGTGCTCTGAGGTAATGAGGCCAGGCCTTTGGAATGGCTGAGCTTGGACTAGAAGAGGATTTCTGAGCTGGTTGGGTTGCCCAGGAAGTTCTATGACATAATTCATATCTTGAATAATAATATGACATTTTATAATATTGACACAATAATTTTTCAGTGGTTTGATGTTCAGTGTCCCAGGGTTTTTCTGTGCTGTTTTTGATTTAATTAGGAAGCTTGGAGTGCTCAGCAGTTCTGCTCCTGCTCCAAATCCTGCCTAGTTCTCTAACTGTCTAGATTCCGAATCTTCTGCTAGAACTGACTGTCCCAAGTTGTTTCTCCTGTAGTGCTCTGCAGCAAAGCAGATTGGTTTGGTGCCTCTGTGTGACTTGGGGACCTTAGAAACGCACTCTGTGAGGCAGGTCCTGGCAGAGTTGTCTGCAAGATCAATGGGAATTGCCCTCTTGCATCAGGGCTCTTCCCCAAGATGAGTCAGAGTGTATCTAATCAAAAACAATTCTATTACTGGAAGAGTTGCTTGAATATTTCAATTCATATCTTGCCTCTGCTTGTTTCTAATGGAAGGGGAGAATCAATGGAAATGTGACACAAAGGAATTTTCTCATACAGGGCTGCAGTGATCTCATTCAAAGGGCTTTAAACCATTCCCGATTGCTGGAAGCTGATTCTGAGATGGACTGGGTGTTTACTTTCTGTGGTCTTTTTTAGAAGACAATCCGTTCCTGGGATGCTGCCATGAAATCACTTTGTCTGTGTAACATTTAGTTCCATTTTAAAAATGTGTGCTGAGATTTGGGAAGAAATGTGAGTGGTCTAGGTGTCTGGATGCTCCTCTGAATGGACTGAGCTTGATTCAGGGAACTGGCCTTGCCTCCAGCGCTCAGTCCTCACTGTATTGCGTGGCCGTGGAGCAGGGCTGCCTATAGCTCTTGGAGCATTTGAGGGCTCTAAAATTAGGGTGAATTAGCACATGAATGTCTTCCTTCTGTTGTTGGTTCATCTTTTTGATGTGACTTTGCAGTGCTTGGTTCCTGCTTACCTGTTCCACCCTGAAATTAAGTAGTGCAGAGTATTTTCTGCTGTTTGTGACAGCTTCACTAATGAGAAAAGACGATGAACAGACTTCCAGGACCCGTTCTGCTCCTTGTTTGCCTGCAGATCCCGAAATCTGCCTGGCTGTGCTTACAAACCCACTTACCTGTGATCAAAGTGCTTCTCTCACGTGCTGTGAGCGTGCGTTATCAGCAGGGTGGTTCATTTCCTCCCTTAGCAGTCGGGTACACGCTGCGGGGGCCCGAGTGTTTCTGGTAATTTAGCTGAGATCACGACTGCACATTCATCTGAAAACGCGGCGCCTGAGCTGTGTCTAGAAAGAGCCGCGTAAGCCGGTCCCGGGAGGTTTGGGTGAGGTTTCCTTTTCTGGCAATTACAGCCAGGAATTGAGGAGATTTCTGAAACTGAAGCTCAGCTCTTGCAACTGTGGGGCACAAAAAGGCCAAACCCTCTGCCCTTGCTCTCTGTAGAGTTTAAATTGCTAATTCTTGAGGAGAAATGATGCAGCCTTTTGGCAGAATCCCTGTCCAGCTCTGTATGAGAATTCCCTTCTCTTAAAGAGAATATATAATATGTAATATAACACTTGGGGTTTACTGCGATGATGTTTCTTTCCCTGTTTAGGAGCAGGAGCGGCTTTACCTCTGCTCAGGTGTGGTCTCAACATCAACGTTTGAGCAGCCAAATCGTTATGTGAAGCTGTGGGTGAAGCTGGTGACACCTCTGATCAAGAATTTCTTTTGAAAGAAGGAAAGCTGCTGCTTTGGGTGAGTTTGTTGCCCTTATGGGGAATTTATATTGCACTGACTGCAGTGAATAGCTGTAGTGCTCTGTCACTTGGAAGAAAGAGACAATGGACACACAGATGATGTGGGGGAAACCAGGCACCTCTCATTTCCTCTGAGATACTGACTGCCATGGACTGGGATGTGCTCAGTCCAGATTGAGTTTCATCTTCTAAAACTTCTGGATGGGTCACTGGCAGAGAACCCATACAGAGTTATTTCCCATGACCCATACAGGGCTATTTTCCGTGCATGGAAATAAAACTCCCATTTCTGAAATGTGCCTTTCAAAGTTTTGTGGAGAAGGACTGTGTTTGTTTTATCTTGACCAGCCAATAGAAAACATCCCTGGAATACCTAAAATGTTTTGTCGTATCCAGTCAGAGCTTTGCTTTGCCCCTGTAGGTGTTGGTTAACAAGGGCAGTTGGTTTTGCTTTTGTGCTTTATGGTATCCTAGGTTTCCTGGCTGTTCGACTGCCCCATGACTCGAGCCCTTCTGAGCTTCAGAACTTCGCTCTTGGACTGTTCCTGTGCATTTGGCACTGGTGTGTGTGCCCAGGATGCTGTGTGTTCCCCTTTTACTTAACCTAACTGTGGCCTCTCCCTCAGCCAGGAGTCAGGAGTGCACCTGACTCCTTAACGTTCAGATGTGTTAAAAGTGTCTTTCATGAGTTTTGAAGGGGCAGGAGAAGTCTTTTTGTGCTGATGTGGGTTTAGGTGTTACTGAAAATGGGAGGCTTGAATCTTAACATCTTGAAAAGAAAGTGGTTGGAAGCCAGGTAAAAACATGTGAGAGTGCAGGTTGGGGCTGCTCTGTGTCACTGGTGGGGTGTGAGCAGACAGAATTTTTGGCACCTAAGAAAGGCTAAGTGTGAAGCTCGGTGGTAACTGATGATAAATGCTGCTGCTCTATAAAGAAATGAGCAGCTCTCTTTGCCTGCTCTTTGGGCTTCTCTGACCATGAGCTGTGAGGGAAGCTTTAGGCAACTGTATTTTAGTACTAATTGTTCAAATATTTCACAGGGTGGGATTTTGGTGAATTGATTTATGCTAAAGGGACAGGCCTCGGCCCTAACGTGTTACTGTTGATACAAATGATTTGTTGTAAAGAAAGGACAGAGTAGGTTCTATACCCTAGAAACAGAAATAATGTACCTCAGAGAGTGACCTGTTTTCAGCTGGACCTTCTCTGGGCTGTGGAGGTGGAGTGTGAGTGAACTGGGCTAAATCTGCACCTTTCTCCTCCTGTCTGCTCCAGCCAGACACGTGCTCTGTGCCAGGAGTGTGAGGAGTTCCTGCTCACTTTGCACTGAGCCATCACACAAAGAGCTGTGGGAAGACAGAGAAAGCCAGGAGAGGGAAAAGAGTCGGCCACTGGTGTGCAGTTGTTCCGTTTGGCTTCCCACGGTGGTCTGGCTCCCCACCAGCACCGCGTCAGAAACCGCCAGTGGAAAACCAGTATCCGCCCTGAGAAGCCCGTGTGCTGCAAGAGCAGGGTCCACACGGCAGCGCTGCCAGCACTGGTTTTATTGATACTTTGCTAAAATGGTTCTGAACTACACAACTTTTACAAGTAAAAACATTTGCTGTTTTCCATTGACATTAAAATTCAGGCCTCTAGGAGCAGAGCCACACCAGCCAGGACCCACTTGGCAGCTTTTTCTTTTGTCTTCAGGTTGAAGGTCCAGACGTAGGTGGGCCCTCGCATCCGTGTCTTGTAGACGGGACATTCGTAGATGTTGATGGTGTCCACGCGGTCCACAGGGATGGCTCTGAGCAAGATGACTGGCATGGCGGGCGTCAGCTCCTTCAGCAGCGCGTCGGCAATCGACCCTGAGGCCACATCCCAGCGCGCACCTGCAACGTGACAGCGGTGTCATGACCTTACAGCTGCCCCCGGGTTCTCCCTGCAGGGGCTTTGTTCGGAACTACTGATGGGTGGGAGCTGGAAGGTGAAGGTTGGGTAGAGTGGCTCGGTAGTGGTTAGGGCTGACGTGTCCTCGACTCACTGTGACCCAGGACTGCATTTGCCTTACTGTGTGTGGGATATCTGAATAAATTCTGTCCCCACCCCTCCCTTCAGCTCAGCTTTGCATGGGAATTGCAGAGCTGAAGGTGAACTAACCGTGGTGGGATCTACCACACGCTGTCCTGTGTGCTCTGTGTTCTTGTCCAAGCAGACCCTTCATCTCCTCTGCTGAACTGCCTCCTTCCCCCTCATTGCAGCAGTAATTATTATAGGTTTGAGTTTTCCAATTTGTCTTACTCATACATCAAATAAGAATGTGACATATTTAATCATTAGAGTCCTGTGGTTCCAACCACTCCAACCCTGGGGGTCACGAGCTGCAGCCTGAATTGCCAAAACACAAGTTTCTGGTTTGTAAAGGCTGCGTGATCCGGGCAGTGCTGCCCTCAGCTGGTGTCTGAGCCTGGAGCCAGGGCAGGGCAGATCGGCCAGCAAGTGCCATCACCTGCTCAGCTGCAGCAGGGAGGAGGACTGAGCTGGGCCTGCCCTGTGTCTGAAACATCTCAGAGGTGCAGTTTTTACCTTCCATGAACAGCCCGTGCACATAGGAGCCTTCTCTGGGTGGAAATGTTATGTCCTCCCGGGTTTTCTTAGTCACTTCTGTCGCCAGACACATCTTATCCAGTGGCCACTGCTTTTTCCTGGCTGTGGACTGCATGATGGCTGTGAGGAAGGACTGGGGGTTGAAGAATCCCGCCAGCCACACTGTTGCAGGCAGCACAAAGTCTGTTGCCCAGACTTCCAGTTCCTGGAAAATAAACCAGCAGAGCCCTTCAGGGTGGAGGGTGGGCTGTGAACCACCAGAGACTGCACCAGGAACGGTGTGATAGAGCTGCCGCTTCACTGTGCCTAACCTGAGCTACAGGTAGTCTTGCAGAGTAGGGGACTGGCTGGAGGTGGTGTAGGATGAATAAACAGCAGATTCCCCTGCAGCAATGAAGCTGAATTTGCAGTGCAGGAGATACCACTGTTATTTTTTAACAAAGCCAGTTTTATTAATTTTTTTTTTTTGCTGGGACACCCAGAGTTGTCATGGGGGGAGCTGATACTCTTTTGCTACTGTGATCTACTGTAATGGGAACCTGGTCAGATTTATGGTCTCATCCCTGGGGGAACAGCTCCTTTCCATGTACTTCAGGCTGCTTAAAGTGATACTGAGAAATAAACCAGTTACCAATAAACCAGTGCACTGGTGGGGAGAGTTCTGGTGTCAGAGGTACCCACTCATGCCCTAAGCTCTGACTGTCACATGAACTCTGCTCACCCTGATCCGCAGGAGCAGGTCTGCATACCAGGTTCCCAAGCTGAGGAGGGAGGGATAAGCATGACGTGTCCAGGATTCTGGAATGCTGTCATAGAAGAGAGCATTTCCCAGCTCTTCCATCTCTGATGTAATTGTCAGCTCTCCCTTTGAAAAAGAGAAAAACCTGAGCAGTGGCACCTGCAGCCAGTGGTGGGACAGGCAGGGGGATGTGCTTGGGCTCAGATTGAAGCAGAGCAGCAGCCTGAGGCCACCTGGCCACACCCACCCCAGTGCTATAGGTAAGAGCTCCAGCAAGGGCACACAGTACACTGGAAATCCTGGGAAATGATCTAGGCAGCTGCCTGCTCCGTACCTGCAGGCCCAGGTCCAGCTCCTTCAGCGAGCGCCTGATCTCGTTGGTCAGGATGTTCATCCTCTCACATTCCTGGAGGGCAACAACTGTGTATGGAGTTTTCTCCTTTGCCTTCGCCATCAGCTCCTCCATATTGAACGGCTCTGGCAGCTGCCCCATGATCTCATCCAGGACTGACTTCACCTGGAAGGACAATGCCATAAACTGCTCTTATGCAGGGAAAAATGCTGTAGGTTTATGGTTAATTAGGTTGGTAAGAATTTTTTTTTTCTGCTTTGGTGTTTTTCTGTGTTTCCTTCTCTGTTACTAATGCTCCACTCTGTTTATAACTGCTCTTGGATCTTAAAAAGCTGTAGCTCTTTTTTGATAGCCAAGAAAGTCAGAGCTGAGGCCATGGAGACTGTGTCACATGTAAGGTCCAGGCAGTCAGGAAGAAGCCTTTTTTTTTTTTTTTTTTTTTAAATTTTATATTTTAAATTTGTATTTTCAGTAGTTGCCATCATGAATGGATGTTCCTCAGCTCTCTCCACCTGCTAAGTCCCACGTAAGCCACATGTTGCCAGTGGCACATCTCAACCCCATCACAGCAGGACCTTTCTGACCGTGCTGCTGCCGTATGTGCCACCATCCCAGGCTGACAGCTGGGCTGGAACTGCCTCCCTCTGCTATCCCTTCCTAATTGTTATGAGTCCTGCTCTCTCTGTCGTCTCTGGGCCTGCATCTGTCCCCTACCCCCTGGCCTCTCAGCTGTGACCATTAAGAGGTTTTTTTTCCCTTTTTAATTAAAAATAACCACAGATTAAAAAAAAAAAAAATCAGTTAATTTCTGCTGTAAAGAGACAGGACTTGACTTGCCTGTTCCTCCCGGGAACCACCTGCGCCTCCACCAGCCTCAGATTCCTTGGGCTGCAGTTCCAGGACGGTGCGGAAGAGCCTGTCCGAGGTGACGGTCAGGAAGCCCATCTCTGCGTTGGGGTGCAGGCCGTACAGGTGGGGGCTCTCGCCTGGCAGGTTGTCGTCGATGTACTGGTGGTAGTCCTGAGCGCAGGACAGGGCCAGTGTTGGCTCGGCAGGTACGGGCAAAGGAGCCCAAACTTCCCTGCAGCTTTGAAAACCCATCACTGTCCTCGGGGGTCCTTTGCAGCACCTGCCTGTGCTCATGCAGGCTATTCCTTTGACTCATGTCCCACCCTCGTGCCCCAGCCACAGGAATTATTTTCACAGCAGTCCAAGTTCCAGGGGATCGACACTCTCTTTCCCTGCATCGCCCTTAGTGAATGTGGGGGAACTTGGACTCGTGCATTAATGCAGAGCAGAGGTTTTCCATAGCAAATTGCAATGCTTGTCTTACCTGGTAATCCAGGCGGGGAGGGACTGCAAACCCTGGAGCCAGGAACACCTCCCCTTCCAGCATCTCCGGCTGGACGTACTCGCTCAGGTACGTGCGGCACAGCCGGCGGTCCCAGTCATCAGTGATGTGCCCTCCGTACATGATCTCGCCAAAGAGGTACCGGAGATCATCCCATGGTACCTGTGGGGAGAGGCTTGAGCTGGAGCTCCTGTGCAGCTTCCTGGGAGTCCCCCATGCAGCTGCAGGGCCGCAGAGCGATGGCTCCAGGATTGACCTGTCCAGTGTGCAGGGAGCTGACAGAGCTCACAGAGGCTCAGGGACAGTGAAGAGGATCTCATCTAGAGTGTCTCTTGTTCACCCACAGATTTCTCCCTGTCTCACGGACACAGCTTTGAATCCCATCATCCCATCTTTATTCCAGCCAGTACTGATTGTGTCTGTGAGCGCAGGTCTAAGGGCGAGACTTCAGCCCTGCTCACCATACCTGCATTCTCTGGGCAGCAGGCACCAAGACACCAAGTGTCTGCCCAAGGCCAGGGCAGACACTTGTCCCAACTGGTGCCTGATGCCTCTTCCCACTCAGCTCAGTAGGGCCAAGGACTCAGCCCCTTCCCCTGCCTGTGTGGGGACCGGGGCTTCTGCTGGCCCTGGGCTCCTTCATGAGACAGCATTTGTGCTGCAAACCGGTGAAGGTTTTAAGAAAGGCTGATTGTTGCAGTGCGTGCTGTGCTGTGGAGTGGTCACCTGGTCATCCCTTACCTTGGCGTTGGCCTCCAGGTAGTTGTGCAGGACGTTAACGGAGACGGTCAGGTCGCCGCTGTTGAAGGGGTAGGGCCTGTTCCAGCCCTGGGTGCCAAACCTGCGCCGCTCGGCCACCGCTGCGTGGAAGTAGCAGAGTGCAAACAGGATGCACCTGAACTCGGTCTCCTTGCTGCACTGCTCCAGTGTTTCCTGCAGAGGAACAGTGATGGGGGTTTGCAGGTGAATATTGCTGTCAAATGCCCCTGTAGTTGAGAACGTTCATAGGCAAAGGAGAACTGAAGATGTTTAGTTGGGAAAAAAAGAAGGCATAGAACTGTATTTTAATGCTTTGCTAGTTGGTAATTTTTGCACTCATTTTTTTATGGAAGAATTAGGACTCCACACCCCAATGCCCTGCTGACAGCTGAGGCATCTTGTTCATGGTAAAACTGCAGCAGCTCCAGGTTCAGTCTCAGAAAAGGCATTGGCAGTCTGGCACTTCCTTGTGTCAGGAGCCCTCGGGCAGCTCTGGTTACCCCTAAACCTCTGGCGAATGGGGGCTCTGGGCACTGCAGGAGGATGTCCTGGGGTGGGGCTGGCTGGGGGTGCAGTGTTTCTGGCTTCAGTGACACCCCCAAAGATGCTCAGCCTGTGGAACCCTGGGAGGGGGTGAGCTGGACACACTGGCTGAATGGTCCCGAGGAGGCAGTGGAAGGGCAGGGGGTGGTTTGGGGGGTACCTGGGAGAAGAGGTCGAGGGCCCTGTGCAGGTTGGCACGCATGCCTGTCGGCGGCTCGCTGGTGATTTTGATGGAGTTTTCCAGCAGCCCCTGCGGGATGATGTGCGACTCGGGGCTGCCGGCTGGCTCGGCGCTCATGAACAGCCGGTACTCGGGGTGGCTCTCCATGCTGTGCTGCTCCACCAGCTTGTCCAGTGTGTCCAGCCACCGGGCCACCAGATGGATGTTCTGCAAAAGGAACAGCCTGTACCTCGTGAATCTCACCTCCCCCCCGCCAAATTCCTACTGTGGCTCCGCAGGGAGAAGGTGCAGCATGACAGGATGCCACTTGGGCTGGATACACCCAGCTGGCCCAGGCAGTGCCACTGCCATCACCAGTGGGGTGACCATGTCCTGTGTGACTGGATGCTGGCAGGACTGGGTGCCCGGCGTGCCCGGTTGCCGTCAGGGTCGTGTGCCCCGTGGTGCACCGCAGGGCCCCCCACCCACCTGTAGGATGACCCAGTGGCCCTGCTCAGCAGCCACCTCCATGGCCTGTTCTGCCACGACCTCCTGGCCCTGCCCCAGTGACACGTTGTGGATCTTCCCGTTGTCAATGGTGAAGTTCAGCCTCGTGCCTGGGGGGGAGTGTACGCCAGATTTATGGGCATGGGTACTGAGCTAGGGTTGTGCAGTTCCAGCTGCTTGGCCCCGCACCAGCTCGGGACTGTTGGGGCTGCTGCCAGCCTGAGGTGGGCAGTGGCTCACCCAGCGCCTCTACATCTTTCAGTGGATCCACGCCAGGGGAGAGGATGAAGAACAGGGGTGTGGAAGGGCTGCTCTCCTTGTACACCTCAGAGAGGTCAATGCTCCTTCCTTCCACATACTTCTTCCCCATCTTCTCTTCCACAAATTTCCTACAAAAAAATAGAACCATCCAGTGAGTCAGAGGAGATGCATCTGTTGGACACAGCTGGCATGATGACACCGCAGGGCTCTTGCAGGAGGGCCCTGTGCAGGGCACCAGCTCACTTGATGGCATAGGTCATCCTGTCGGGGCGCAGGCACCGCAGCACGCACAGCTTCTGCAGGGCTGACTTGTTCTTCCAGTCCATGGGGAGCGCCTCCTTTTCTGGTGCCTCCATCTCCACAAACCTTTTCCATCGCTTTGCCGAGTTCTCTATGTCACTGTCCAGGTTCCTGAACTCTTCCATGTCTGAGAGAGCCTTCAAGTTCCACAGAGAAGGACTAAATCATTCCTGGGCTCTGGGAATCCTCAGGGAACCCATACAGGTGACTCTGGACCCACTGTGCCAGGGGCCGTGCTGGCATTGCCTTGGCACAGCAGGTGACCACACGGACCCACCTTGACAGCACCCCAGCCCTGGGTCTGCAGGAAGTCCACGGGAGAAGTGACGCCGGCCTTGGAAGGGAAGCGCAGGAGAAAGTCCAGCTCTGCTGGGTTCACTTCTTTCTTGATGGTCAGGACCTGGAAGTTGGGAGTGCAGCATGACAGCCACCTGGTACCCACTGCCCCGGTGTGAGGGGTGAGAGGCTTTGAGCATCCAGCAGCAGCACAGGAGTGAGAACAACCTGTCTAAAGCCACGCAAGCACCTGTGGTACAGCAGGAGCCCCAGACATTCACAGGGATTACCTGGAAGGCAACCTGGGCCAGGAAGATGAGTTTGTCTCTCTCAAAGAGGCCCTGTGCTGTGTACATATAGACTGAGTAGGTGATCTGGTCTGTCAGGTTGACCACCCTTTGCTTGGTGTCCTGGCTGGGGGCCGCACGCTGGATGGCTTTCTCGAAAACTCCATTGAAGGCCTGAAGAAGATCCCAGCAGACATCAGTGTTGGGCTGCTGGGAGCCTGTCAGTAGCATAAACACTAAAACTCTGAATCTCCATACTCCCCCAGCCTCGTCCCACCTTCACACACCAGCTCCCTCCTCACTCCCTGTCTACCTTGAGAGAGAACTGGTAGATGGGGTTGATCTTGCCGAGGTCGCTCAGGATGAAGTACAGCAGGGACGCGCGCTCTGCCGCTGGGCGGTAGTTCTCTCTCGCGACGTTTATTTGTACTTCGGTGACTTTAGCTTCTTTCACCTGGAGGTACAGGGGGGTGGGTGTTACCAGAACCAAGGCACAGGCTGAAGCAGTGCCTGCCCTCCAGCTGGGTGCCCAGTTGAGCTGTCCCTCTGCCTGCGGCACCAGTGCCAGGGCAGCGTGTTTACTTTTTCCTCGATTTCCTTGGCTGTGCGCTTTGTTGTTTCCAGGTTTTCCACCAGAGCTGTGTCCCGCAGGAAGTCTCCCCCAGCAGCCGACAGCCGGGCGAGCAGTGAGTCCTCCAGCTCCTTCAGCTTGATCTTGAACTCGTTCTGGCTCTTGGTTAGGTTTGCCTGTGACAGCAGCACCCAGGGATACATCACTCGAGAGATCATGACCGAGTGCTGGCACCAGACACTCTGTCATACGGCCACCGATGTGCTGGTGCAAGGGGAGGGTGGGCACAGACCCTGCTGCGACCCACCATCACCCACCAGGGCAGTGCTGGCTGCGGGGAACAATGGGGGACCTGCAGGGTCTGGCTGGGACTCGCTTGGCTCTTGACAAACAGCAGCGAGCACACAGAGGGGAGCTCTTCTGCTCCCTGCCCCAAAACCTCCGCAGTGCCCCAGCCTCTCCCACCCCTCCATCCAGCAGCTGGGTCTGTACCTTCAGGGTCTCCAGGTCCGGCCGCTCCCGGGCCACCACCGCAGCCAGAAGCTGGTCCTCCAGGCCCTCCCGTGTCACCAAGAAGTTGATGAGAGTGCACTGAGCCTGCACCTCCGGCTTGTAGTGCGGGTTGAAACAACGGGTGTGCAGGATCAAGCGGAACTGCTGGTGATATTCCACTTCTTTATCTCCAATCCTAATGTATCTGTTCAGTTAATTAAACAAATTAGTCCACACGCTGGTCCACTCATCACAGACAGATGTGATCAGCCCATGTGCTGTTCCCAGCTGCTCAGAATGAATTTCTTTGGTTGGGAAAAAGCTCAGGAAGGGCGGAAGTGCAAAACCACAGGCAGGGCAAGGGTGGAGGAGCAGGAGCTGGAGGTTGCCTGGCTGCAGCCCCCCATGGCTTCTGGGGTGTTTCTCCCCTTCCAGCTTATCACCTGCTTATGGCAGGTGCCCCAGGGGATGTGTTCTTAAATCACTACATGAACTGGGTGCTGCAGATGAGAATAGCCTAAAAGGCCACATCAGTACAGTGGGACATACTGGAGAACACTGGGGGATGTGGCCAAAACCAAGGAAGGATCAGGCCCTCAACTGCTGGCAGTAAAGGGGCATGGACCAGCATTTTGGGGCAGCAGTGGTTACTCAGGGCAGGTGAAACCGCTCGGCACTGGGGTGTACTGACCTGCCCAAGATGGTCTTGCCCAGCAGTGGGTCCAGCACCGCCTCCACCGTCTCACCAATGTCCTCGATCAGCAGCGTCTGTCCTTCAGAGACTGCCTGCGCGATTGTGTCCAGGTACCTGAGTGGAGAGGGGGAGGTGCACTGTGGGGGGCTTGAGCATGCTGCGGGGGGCTTCTGGGGTGCCTTCCAGCCACTGTGCCCTGTAGGGACCCTGCTGTGTTCTGCCAGCCCTGGCCCCCGCAGAACCTGTGGAACTGCTGCCCTCGGGTGCCCTGAAGTCTGATGGGGATGTTGCCCTGGCTCACAGCACCCTGCACCCTTTGATGGCAGGGAAATGGGGGTGCAGCCCAAGCCTGTGCCCAACTCTGCAGCCCCTGGCCCACCTCCGCTGGCCCAGGCGGACGACCTGCAGCTCCTCCCCGTATTTGTTCTTGATCCACTTGCTGCCCTGGAGCTGGGCGTCCACGAGCAGTGGCCACCGCTGGGTGCTGCAGAGAATGGCAGCATTCTCGGTGGAGGTGCGGTCGCTGGGCAGCCCCTGGTTGTTCCAGGCAGCCACATCGGCAGAGTCCGTGAGGAGGCTGAGGGGGTCCAGGCCTGGGGTGATGGGGATGGGCACCTGCAGGGAGAGGCTGTTGGGTGCCTGGCTGCAGAGGGGTGGTGGGCAGGGGTGAAGGAGCTCTGGGCACTCTGGGATGGAATCTGTGGCCTCTCACCGTCAGCCCGTTGAGGAAGGGGATCCAGTGCTGCTCCATCAGCTCAGCTCTGTACTTCTTGGTGAAATATCCGACGTAGGACACAAAGGCGGACACCAGCAGCACATCCCCGCACAGCGTCTTCCCCTGCTCTTTGAGCTGGCCCACTGACTCAGCCCAGCGGACGTTTTCGGATGCCAGACCCCCAACGAGCCTGGGGGGTCAGAGGGGATGGTGGCTGCTGTGGTCCTGGTGCTCCTAGTGCTGTGACCCAGTGGGGGAGCAGGGACGACTCAGCCACGATGCCCCAGGGTGTCATCTCAAAATGGTTTCATGGTATACCCACCATGAATTTTTAGCCCAGTTTATCTCAGGAGCTTTTAATCTGGGGAGGGTATGGGGGGTTCTGTTGCTCCCACAGCCACTGAGCAATGCCAGGCGGCATCAGCCCGCCCCAGTGCTTTGGAGCCAGCATTTGCACGGTACCTGTTTGCCAAGGTGATGACTTTGTTGGTTTCATCAGCCTCCTGCTGGCATTTGATCTTCTCTGCTGTGGCTTTCTCAAACTGAGCAGTGAGAGTCGCCAGATTGGCATTCAGGGTCTTTGGAAGAGAACAGCTCCACAGTTATTCCCTACTTGGACAGGTGGCTCCATGATCCCGGAGCTCTGCAGTGGCCCTGTCCCAGCACAGTGTTTGGCCTGGGCTCCGGGTTCATGGACTTACAGAAACCTCTCTTGCCTGTTTGGTGGCTGAGGGGGTCGTGGCAGGTGCTGGCAGCTGGCCCTGCCTGGGGGCTGTGGGGACACACACTTACCACAATTTTGCTCTTAATGCGACTGAGCCTCTGCTGCGCCTCGGCCAGCTCGGCATCAGCGTCAGCCACCGCCTGCCTCTTGGGCTTCACCTCGCAGTGCACCTCGTAGTAGCGGACCATGTTGAGGCACCAGGAGCACAGCCCTGCTGCAGCTGTTGATTTGGACTTGATGAACTCGGGATCAAACCCAGGGTCTGACCGGTACGGCCTGGAATGGGAGCACATGCCATGCTGTGGCACTACGTCATGGCTACCAGCGACCCTTCCCACTCCTGCTGGGGCTTGGGCTGCTGGTGGGCAGCAGGGTGGGAGGGCAGGGTCAACACCTTCTGCCCCCAAACTGCTGTGCTCCCAGGTGAGGGTCCCCCTGGCCACCCTGCCCAAGGAACCAGGCAGAGACTCACTGAAATGCCTTGAGACAGGGCTCAGGGATGTTTTCCCCGTCGTAGTTTTGTAAGCTTGAAAGGAAAGTGTCTGCTTTTCCTATCTTGACTTTTGCTGCTGTCCAGCTCTTGTCCTTTGGAATCTTGCCATTTTCGGCCGTCAGAATCAGCACAGCTGCCATCACATTCACCACTTCTGGGGGCGGAGCCCCGAAGGACTTCAGCTCTGTCAGGTTGTACTGGGAAGGGACAGCAGGGCCACTGAGCATCCCCCTGGTGTGAGGCCACCAGCGCTAGCTGGGCACCTGCCTCCCCCCGAGAGCTCGCCCACCTTGTTGAGTGTGTTGAGGGCCTCGCGGGCAGCAGAGAGCACCACCTCTGCTTCTGCCAGTTCACTTGCGCAGGCTTGTTGCTTCTCAGCCACGACCTGGGGAGGGAGGGAGGGAGGGATGGGATGAACGGCCGTAGCCACCCACCTCACCCTCCCCTGTCCCACACTGGGCACTGGCTCAGCGCCACGCACCTTGTTAATGGCCTCGACCTTCAGCTCCTCCTCATCAGCAATGGCTTTCTCCTTGGTGACCTTCTCTGTCTCAACACCCACCACGTGGATCAGTTTATCCGTGTCCTCGTTCTTCTGCTTCAGCTCTGCCTCCTGGATTGCCAGCATGGCTTTCAGGTCGTCCACCTCGACAAGCGGAGAAACAGAGCAGATCAGAGGGCTGATACTGCCAAGCCCTGCCTGGCCTCAGAGCGGTGGCTTGGTATGGCTCAGGCACCTTGTGGCCACCTTGACCACCCTGCAGGGACATGCCTGCTCTCTCCCCCCATGCCAGACCCACAGCAGGCACAATGCAGGAGTGAGGCTGTAGACAGGCACCTGTGATGCTGTGCTCTGCAGCTTCATCAACCCCTTCTCCAGCCTCTCGATGCTGGCAGCCAGCTTGCTCCTTTTACTCGCCAGCAGGCTTTGGTAGAGCTTTATCTGCTCCAAGAAGGTCTTTGGCGTGGTGTAATTATAGCGTCTCTCCACGGCCAGGTAGATCTTGGACATCTCCTTGGAGCTCGTGTGGACGAAGGACATGAACTGGCTGATGGAGACTTTGACCTCTGGCTGCACAGGGAGCACAGACAGGGAGCTGCTGCAGTGGGTGCCTGCAGTGAAGTGCAGGGCTGCCCTGAGCCCTCCTGCAGCGCTGGCTCCGTGTCCAGCTGCAGAGAAAAGTGACCCTTTTCGTTAACAGCACAGTGCAGGGCTGAGACATGCTGGTAGTCGTGGCACTGGCACTGGTCCCTATGCCCAGCTCTGGGTCCCTGACTCAACCCTGCACTGGAGAAGCTGCTGTCCCTAGTCTGTTACCTGAGGAGATGTTTTAAGGACAGAAGAAAATGAGGGAAGGTTCATCCCCACAAACATGGTGCAGGGCTGCAGGCTCTGACCCCAGAACCAGCTGTGAGCCTATCCCAGACCTATTCCCAGCTTGCTGCCCCTCGCCCCCTTGGTCACACCAGACCCCTATCCCTGGGCACATTAAACAAGGAGAGCAGCAAAGGTGCAGGGATCCCCAGTGCCCCAGGACAGCAGCTGTGCCGGGGGCCCAGCTCACCTCAATGTCCTCCGTTTCCTCCAGGAACCTGCTGCTGACAGACACGAGAGCGTCCTCTGGCCACTCGTGGAACCAGTCGATGGCCGTGCAGTTGACCACGGCAGGGAACCTCCTGGCCCGCACACGCAGGGTTGAGCCCACGGGGGAGAAGCAGAGGACGACCTGGGGCAGAGCAGCACCGCTGAGCGGGGTGTCCCCGCTGTTGGGGTGGCAGGAACATCACCAGGAACTCTGCATGACTGCAAGGCTTCTGCTGCAGACCAGGGCTTTGCTGCCCTCCCAGTAACTCCCAGTACATGGGAGGTGGTCTGTGGTTGTGCACCTTGTGCTGTTCACCAGGGCTGGAATTGTGTCCCCTTTGGTGGCTGCATTCATCAGCTGAGCACAGTCAGCGTCCCTGGGAGTGCCCAGCATGGCCCACGGCCACGGAGGCTGCTGCTCTGCCTCCAGGGAGGTCAATACAGGGGTGTTCTGGCCTGCACCCCTAGGGCTGGGGGCATCTGGGGAGTCTCTGAAAACACCTTTTGCCCAAACCCACCAGCCTGGGATGAAACTTCAAGGTGCCCTGTTGCAAAGAGGTTTTGGATCAGGTAAGTCAGGGCCATGGACTAACCACCCACCTTTAACTGGCGCCGGACTTTTTCTATAAAGAATTTCCAGCAGTTTTCCTTTGTATCCTCCAATCCAAGGGACTTCACTTGGGGTCTCATGGCACCGATGATGGTTTCCAGGTCAGAATCCTGAAAGAGACCTGGCACTTCCCCAGACGCCAAGAAATCATTGATTAGAACCAGGAACGATTCTTCAGCCACCTGGGAGTCCGTCATCAGGAACACGGTGGGGACGTTCTTCACGGCTGCCTTGAGGTACTGGGAGGCCAGGTCCACCTGGGGCAGAGAGAAACTGTCACCCCCCGGTTCAACCTCTGTGAGGTGTTCCCAAAAGTGTTTGAAGCAGCCCTGGGGAGCCAGGGGGGAGCCTTTGGGAAGGATCCTTTGGGAAGGAGCTGGTGCCAGCTGCTCAGCTGGGACATGGATGCAGCATCAGTAGCCCTCCTCAGCAGTGGCTACTGCCTGTCCCTGGCTGGGGAAGTGCTGTGGCCCCTTGGGGCAGGACCCTTGGGTGTCACCTGTGAGCAGATCCTGGTGTGCAAATGCACTGATGTGAGGAGAGCAGAGCCCTATGAGCCCACCCTAGGCACCAGCACTGCAGGTGCTGCCCAGGTCCTGCTCCTCAGGACCTTTCCTTGAGCAGGCAGCACTGGCCCAGGGCCCAAAGCTGCTCCTACCTTCAGGTCTGCGGTGCTGTAGCCTTTCCTCAGTGTGATCTGGAACACGCTCAGGTTGCTGATGTGAGCTGCCAGCCGTGCCAGGCTCTGCTTCCCGCTGCCTCCCACCCCCACCAGTAGCGCATTGCCCCGAGGAGACTCCAGGATCCTGCTAATTCTGCAAATGTGAGACACTGCGTCTTCAAAGAGCACCTGAAGAAAACAGGAGGGGAAGGTTCTGTGTTCTGGATCAGGGCAGGGAAGTAGCAAGTGCCCCATAATGCACTGACCCAAGCAGTGGGATGCCACAGTCACATCTTTTCAGGGCGGCGCTGCCCACCATGGGCACTCACCAGGTTCATTGCTGCGTTCACCTCGTTATAGCTGTCCAGGGCTTCCCCCAGCAGGTCACTCAGAGTTGACCAGCTTGGCACTGGCATGTACTTGGGCTCATCAAAGCCCTGGGCGAAGTGGCAGTAGATGTTGGGCTTGGCAAACACTACGTCTTCGCTGAGGTCCTGGGAAAGGCAATTCCGGCTGTGGATTTCAGCTATGGAATTCAGCCATGGGGTACCCAGGCAGTGCCACCATGCTGGAGCCCTGTCCTTTTCAGCACAACTTACTTGAAAGGCAGCTTTGCAGATGTCCACCAGCAGCTTCCTGAAGCTGGTCTGATCCTCTTCGTCAACGAGCTTGTCTCCGTACACCCTCTCTGCTTCATGAAGCCAGAGACGCACCAAGTCCACAGGGCTTTTCAGGCACTCAGGGGTGGAGAAGAGCAGTCCCTGACAAACATACAAACCTCTCAGCCCTCAGGATTATTTTAGTGCCACTCAGAGCTGAGTGTAAAGGTTGGCTCTGGGAAGAGGCCAAGGCCTGTTTCAGGAAAAAGGTATGCTGCATGGCTGTAGGATGAGGAAAGGGAGAATAAGGATGTTTTACAAGAAGCAGCCCTCAAACTACCTGAAATATGTTGGAGAGGTCCCGCAGGTTGAAGAGGTAGTGGAACTTAACTGCTGTTGGCAGAAAGTTGGAGGAAACCTTCTGGTGCAGGGCTGTGGGGAGGAGAGGGGGGTGAGGGGGTGCCAGGTCCCCAGAGATCCCTGAGCCTGGCTCCCCAGCAGCAGATTCCTCAGAGGCCAGTGCTGGCATGTCCCACTCCAGCATGGCAGGGGCTCACCCAGTGCTGCTGCTACCAGCTGGGGCTGCATCTTCTGAAGAGCTTGTGACATCTGCTGCCGGGCCAGGTGCTGCTCCAGGATGGTGCCATACACCGTGTGCAGCGCCTCCCGGCTGGGAAAGCTCACGGCAAGGACGCAGAAGTGGCGCTGCAGAAAAGGGCAGACATTGAGATGGGCGCTTTGCCCAGTGGGGGCTGATGCAGCCAGATGACACCTTGGGGCCCCCTTCCTCACCCCACCCTCTGGGCTTTGGCCCAAGGGGAACAACACAGCCTGGCCCCTGGATCCCACACACCTGCAGCCGTGAGTCGATGGTGAAGGACCCCGCGGTTGGGTTCATGCAGGCCACGTACTGGCAGTTGCGAATGTCCTTCAGGGTCAGTTTGGTCCTGTCGTACCTGCGCAGGGATCAGCACTGGGATGTTTTCCCTGGGGACGGGGACAGGTTCCCCCCATCATGCTGTGCCCCTCCGGCACCCACCAGTGCCCATGGTCCAGGTGCTGCCGGATGAGCGTGTGTGGTGCCACGGTGCCATACTTGTCCACCTCTGGCATGTTCATGTCGTCAATAAAGTAGACCAGCCTTCTGGAGCCGGGTGGGCCATAGATTCTTCCCGATTTCTTCTCCAGGGGCTTCTCAAGGACAGCTGCAGCAAGAGGAGCAGGTGGGTGGTGGGTCAGCACTGCAGGACGCTGTGGCACAGCCTGGCACGAGGTCAGCTACTGACTCTGACAGCCTCACCCTGCAGCATGGCTGAGGTGGTGTAGAAGTTGAGGGGCACAGACTGCACCAGATATTCGTCTGTGCCAAGGGCTCCCAGCTTGTCCCACATTAGGACCGACTTTCCCGTCCCTGCGTTCCCCACCAGCATCACTGGTTGCCGCTTCTCCATCAGCAGGTCCAGGAAGTAGCGGAGGCGGATGGTCTCTGTGGTGTGCACCATGGCGGCCTGGGGAGAGGAGCTGTCAGTCCCTGTGCTTACCCTGGCATTGGCAGATGTGGGATGGAGCATGGGGCAGCATGCCAGCCCCCTGCACAGTGTTCATGTCAGCTCCAGTGGACGATGTTCTCTGCGTACAGACCTGCTCCCTCTCTAAACCTACAGGTCTTGGGCACTCAACTACTCTAGTCAGAACTACATTCTGACTGAAACTGAGTTATTACACAAAACAAAATGGACAGTTCCTGAAACCTGGTGTCTGCTCAGCCCACAGCCAAACCCAGTCACAGTTCCTCAGCCTTGCCCTGACAGCTTTGATAACCCCCCTCTGGACAGCATTGCAGGAGACACAAATCAAGTGCTAAAGGAAATTTTGCACTCAGGCAACAGTCACAGTTATTTCATGAGACCCTCTGAAGCTGCAGGTTAACCTGAAGTTAAAAAGGAGGTGGAACTTGTAGCCCTTGCTGGGGTTTCTGCAGGGCAAAAATAACCACAGGAAGCCATTGGGTTTGCTGGATGCCCCCAGCCCAAATCCTGCTGACACCCCAGGCACTGTTGGGAGGAAGACTGTAGAATAGTAATCAAATAAGCTATATAAACATAGAACTCATGGGAAATACCTGTAAGGGGACTTCAGGGTCGAGCTCGAACTGTGGCACTCTTTCATCCCAAGGCATGAATGTCTTTGTTGCCGGATCAATGTAATAGTCAAAAATTGTCCCCTCATTAGGAAACTTGATGGCTTTAAAATCTGTCAGCCACCACTTGCTGAACTGCTGCCGGTGATCCACCAGCTGGGGACAAAACAGAGACACTCAGAGACACGATGGGACACAGCAAGGGTGGCAGGTGCCAGGTGGTCCCATGGCTGTACCTGGTCCTGGAACAAGGCCCCGCCAAAGGCCCAGGTACAGGCGAAGACAAAGTAGAGCTCATATTGCTCCCGGGGCGAGTCTGGTGGGACATTCTTTGGCGTCAGGAGACATTCCAGCAGGGACAGCACTGTCTGTATGGCCGTGACCTCGGGGACAGGGGTGATTGTCTTGAACCCAGACCTGAGCTTCTCCAGGCATGGTGGCAGGTACTTGTCAAAGAGGATCATCAGAACAGCCTTCTCAGACTTTACTGTCCTCGTCTCAATCCAGCTGGTCACAATGCTGTGGGAGGGACAAGCAGGGCTGCAGTGAGCATGTGGGGGCCAGTGCCCACCCCATCCCATCTCATCCCATCCAATCTCATTCCCTCATCCCATTTTGTCCCATCCTGTCCCATCCCATCAGATTCCAGCCCATTCTGTCCCATTCCATCCCAGTTCGTCCCATCAAATCCCATCTTGTCCCATTCCATCCCATCCCATCTTGTCCTATTGCATCTCATCTTGTCTCGTCCTGTCCATCTGATCCCTTCCCACCCCCTCCTCCTCCCTTGCTGGCTCACGGGTTCCAGCCCAGGTCCGCGGGGTTGATGTAGAGGATTCCCGCGCGGGACACGGTGGCTGGCGTGGCTGTCCGCAGATGGCTGATCTCAAAGATGAGCCTCATGGTGGGGGTGAGGGGGATACGCTCGTTGCTGGCCAAGGTTAGAACCTGGGAGAAGCAGCTCGTTGTGAGGGATGCCCAGAGCTGATCCTCCTGAGTTAACGAGCAAGCAAAGCCCCTGGAATGTGATGGCACCAACCTTATTGTCATCCATGACTGTGTTCAGGGACTCAATCCACATGGGATCAATGTCTCCATCGAGGATGATCCACTTGGGCCCGTCATGTGTGATGTTGGCCAGGTCACGCATCGCTGTGGAGAACAGACCTGCCCCACCGAGAGACATGGGTTGGTCCGTCAGTTTGCTGGGAGACACTCAGGACTGGTGCTCCCACGGAGGACATTACTCCTCCCTCCCGCCCCAGGAGAAAGCCCCAAGGAAAGGTCTTCCCTTTCCATCTCACATCCCATAAACAGAGCTCACAGCATTGGTTTCTCACCATCCTTCCACTCCCGTGTGGCCGGATGAATGACCCCAAACAGTTCATCGCAGGTCACAGCCTTGGGGTCGAGGTCCACGGTGACCGGCCTCCGCTGCAGCTTTTGGTATGTTTTGTTGAGCGACTTCAGCACCTGAGGAGAGGGGATGGTGCAGCTGCATCATCGTGGTGCAGCATCGGGTGCTGCTCCTACTGGGGTGTCCACAGCCTTCGGCAGCCTCTGCTCGCAGCAGAGGGCACGGAGTCCTGCTCTCCCGGGGGCTGCTGCTGGGAATGCACCTGACCTCCCTCTGCAGAGTCAGCTCCTGGCTGGGCTGGTGTGGGAGCCCCGATCCCACCAGCCAGCAATGTCCTGTCATGCTGCCAGTACCCCAGCAGGCACAGCATTGTGAGAGCATGTCTCTGCCTGCTCCCTACACTGTCCCTGCTCCACTCATAGCTGTCCTGAGGAGCCCCTGAGTTGTGCATCCCAAACCTGCTCAGCCACATGGTCGAGGCTGCACTGCAGTCCCCTACCCAAAAGCTGTTGTGGCAGAGGCAGGGCCTGCATGGCTGGCTGAGGCCTGTGGCCATGCCCTCACCAAGAGCTGTGGGAGGCCATGGGACGTGCTTGGGCCCCACGTCCTCAGGACGCTTTGGCTGCTACCTGGGACTTGCCGCAGCCGGCATTGCCGACGACGAAGACAGAGTGTCGCACTTGCAGCAGCTCCTCCAGCTGCACCACCTTCAGCACGAAGTTCTCCTCTGCCTGCAGCTTCAGCTCCAGCACGGACTCACGGATGACCTGGGAGGGAGAGCAGGTGCTGACCACTGGCAGCCTTGGCAAGACCCTGGAGACGAGCCGGCCACTCCCAAAAGTGCTGAATGGACCGTCAGTCTCTGAACCCTGCCAGGGCTGAGACGTCTCCAGTGCTGGTGCTATGCCTGGGCTTGCACCTTCTCAAAGTTGAGGTCCCTCTTCCTGGGGACGTCCAGCGCTGGGAACAGGTCTCCAATCAGCCCCATGAACACCGGCAAGTCATCTGTCACGATCTTGGGGATGTTGAAGTCTCGTAAAGCTCTCATCAGAACCTGGTCCTCGGCACAGCCGGGGTCCCCCCTCTTCAAGGAGCCCGCCACCACCAGCACGGACTTGATGGCTCGCAGCCCCCAGTCATAGTGGTCCTGTGACAGGCAGCAAAGAATTACCATTTCACTTTGGTGAATGAGAACAGCTTCAAACAGCACCACGGAGGAACACTCTGTCTATCGCCCCACGGACAGGTCACCCACACAGTGTGTGGTCCAGCCCCCAGTGGGTTGGACCTAAACTGAGTTTGTTTACAGGAGAAGCCTTCATCAGTCACAGGGGGAGCAAGAATCCAGCTTCCTTCTTGGAGACATACTTTAGGTGTGAAACACCTCTGCTAAGATGAATATCTAGAAGCTCTCACCTTAACTGGCTCAATTCTAATTCTCATTCTAATTCTAATTCCATGTTATTCTACTTTTGGCCTTCTTGATTCCTTCCCCAAGGCAGAAAGATACCATATTATGCACCAGGTGGAAGTGGAACTTGTCCTGCCATAGACCTGAGCTGTGCAGAACATCACCCCACGCATCACCACCAGCAATCCCACTACAGTGTTTCAGGCCTGAAGTTCAGGTGGACTCTTTCCTCTTACAGCACTGTGTGATATTGTTAATTACCTGTTTCGACAACAGCTCTTTGCAGAGTGTGTACAGAGTGATGAACTTTCTTGCCAGGAGCCTGGCATCGAGAAACCCCTCTGCCACAAGCATGATTTCACAGATGAGTTCAAAATCAGGGACCACCATGGCGCAGGGTCTGCAGAAGAGCAGCGGAGGTTGGCAGGGTTGCACACCATGTCTTCACCCTCCCATAGCCCCCAAGGTTTGTCCCCAAATTTCCAGTAGAAATCTTACCCTGCTGCAGTTACACTGCTGGGGTGTTCTGCCCAGCCTCCTGCTCCAAGTGGGGCTCATGTCCCAGCTGGATCAGGGCCCTTCTGCACTCACAGTTTGAGTTCCACGAAGGACAGGGATCCCGCAGCAACCCTGTGCCTCCCCTCCCAGCACTCTGTCACCTTTTTGTCTTATTGTTAATTGGATTTTTAGCTGGGGTAGTAATCAGACCCCCTGAGCATCCTCTTCCCCAGCTGAGCAGCCCAGCTCGCCCAGCCTGGCCACCTTCGGGTAGTGACAGGGTTGTCCCTCGGTGCCAAGGGCTCCCTGACACCAGTGCTGCCATTGCACACAAACACCCTCAGCTTAGGATGGATGTGACCCATGAGTGCCACCACACAGGTGAGCGCTGTGATGACACCAACCCACCTGAACAGAGCCTTTAGATTCTCAGGCAGCTCCGTGCGCCCGGCGTAGCCAGGGTTCATGGTGATGAACAGCCCGACTGATGGCACCAGGGAGATGATCTCTCCAAGGAAGTTGAATGTTTTCTTCTTGGCACGGATTGCATCTTGAATACATTTCACCTGTCAGGTGAGCAGAGGTGTTGGTGCTGGCAGCTCCCAGCTCCTTGCCCCATGCTCTGGCTCACCTTCACCACCCCTCAAAGTGCCAGGAATAGCACTGAATTCTTACTGAAGCCACAACAGCAGGAGAGCTGGCCTTAAACCAGCTCCTTCCCCATCACCCCAACTCCCTGTCTTGGGCAATGGCTGAGCTAGGGGGTGTCAGGTTACTGGGATGAGACACAGCTGGGCTGTGTGGTTTAACTCTGTCCAAATCACCAGCACTGCTCTGCTTCCACCCACCACCCTGTCCAAACAGGACATAGTGGAGAGAACAGCAGAAAGTTGTCCCATGAGTCACATTTAGCTGGGACAGCATCCAGGATATGAGCTGGAGAGTCTCTTTGGCACTCAGTGCTGCAGGGTTGTGGGAACAGCACGCACCTGCACCGCGATGACAGACAGGACCTCCACCAAAATGCGATTGAACTCGTCAAAGCAGCCCCAGGCGCCTGTCTGAGCCAGTCCCTTGTAGATGTTCCCACAGGACTGGAGAGAAACAGAGCATCAAGATGGTGTTTAGGTGCTGTAATCCTACATGGCAACTGTGATGGGGGGTTTGGTGACAAAGCTCGAGTGCTGAAAGCTGCTCATGCTTTATGGATTGTGCCCCTTCCCAAGGAAATGCCCCAAAGCAATACGGCCCCCTGCCCCTGGGCTCCCCTGTGCTCCCAGAGACCAAAACCAGGGCCCCCCTTGTCTTGGACACCCCATGGTTCTCACCTCGGTGCCACCACCCTGTTGTCCCATGCCCTACCTTGTAGTCCATCTGCTCAGAGCAGTTGAACACGTAGACCATTATGCCCACTGCCCGGCCCAGGTCCTTGGTAGTCTCTGTCTTGCCAGTGCCTGCAGGGCCTGCGGGGGCCCCGCCCATGTAGAGGTGGAGGGACTGTGTCAGGGTGATGTAGCACCTGGGAAGGGAGGACACTGGGGCTGAGTGGGGCCGGCGGTGCAGAATGGCCACAGAGCTGCAGGCAGCAGCAAGTGTGGGAGTCCCAACCTGTCTGTCAAGGGGGTAATGACCAGCCGGGGGGTGTTGCCCAGGTACTCGTAGGCGTACTGGAGCTGAGCGTCGCAGATGTTGGCATAGCAGTGCTTCTTCCCCTCGTCCCAGCGGTGCCGGAGCTGGGACTGCCAGGCGAATGCCTGGTCGCTCTCCACCTGCAGAGCAGCCAGCTGTGGAAGGCAGGTGGGCACTGGCACTGCCCACCCCAGCCCGCTGGGACAGCAAGCTCCCATTTGTGCCTTGGGACCCGTTCACCACCTCCCAGCACAAGGACAGTGTGTGAAGAGGCTCCAGTGCCGTGCTGGGGAGGTGAGGACCATCCCTCCTCATGGCCCAGCTCAGCCCACACCTGTCAACCACAGTGCCCAGCCCAAAAGTAATGTAATGACAGGAAATCCGTGCTCAGAAGTGCTGAGAGACACTGCAGTAAAAATACCCTCTTGTACCAAATACCTTTGTTTGGATCATTTTGGCCACAACGTCCCTGGAGTGGACATCAATGGTACAGATTGTCATAATCTTCATCCTGTCTCCAGGACTCAGGTTCCCAAGGAGCAGGGAAATGAGGGCATTCAGCCGAGCGATCTGGGGAAGCAAAGAAATGATGCACATAGAGATGATGCCCTCATTTTCCCACCTCCTGGTGACCCCCAGCCTGGCAGAGGGGTTTGGGCCCAGCTCCAGGTCAGGTCCAGACGATGCTAACCTGCTTTTTGTTATAGTCCTTCAGGGCGTTCTCATAGCCTTTCTGCAGACTTGAAAAGGCAACACCGACCTCTGAGGTCCACGCGATCTGGGTGCATGTCAGGGCAACCTGCAGCAAACCACGAGGACACTGCGGCCATTGAGGGGAACACATCGCCTGCAGCTCCCAGGGATCTCTGTCTCCTCCTCCTCTTCCTCTCAGACCCTGGCTCAGCCTGGCCCCACGCAGCAGCACCCACCTGTGCTGGGTAGTCGAACACCCACTCGTCCCGTGGCTTTTCCTCGTAGGTGACCAGGGCCTGGGGGAGGAGCTGTCGCAGTGTCGCGCGCATGCGCTCCAGCACCCGGTTCAGCCAAATCTCAACCTGGAGAGGCACATCCAGCAGAGTTGAGTGACTGGCTCCCAGCCTCTGTCCCCTCAGGCTGCCCAAACCTCCCCCTGTGCAACAAGCTGCCAGAGAGACCCTGGTGCTGGCCCCGCAGGGCACATCCCACGGCAGATAACGGAGGGTGGTCTGAGGGTGACCAGCAGAGGGGAAACCACCTTGTAACCCCCAAGGGGCTGTAAAGCTGTGCAGGTTCACAAAACTGTGCTGTTCTACACCTGTAAGGCAGGTCCCATTTCTGGGGTTTTTTTTGCCAAAAAGCTTTGTGATTACATTTTTAAACTCCTGCCAAACTGTTAGTGCACAATCAGCAAAAGGCCCGTCCCCATCCTCAACCTGCCCCGCCATCTCAGCACGTGGAGGCTCCACAAAGCTCAGCTGACCTGGCCAGACAGGTCACAGTCTGCGTCGAAGGGCACGTACTCCCCGTCCCGGCTGAACATCCCCTGGGCCACCTTCAGGGGCTTCTTGTCTGAGCTCAGCTGGAACTTCAGCTTGGCCACACTGTCGAACAGCTTCGTCAGGTGCCGGGACACCTGAGAGCGGAGGCACAGCCGCCATCAGGATCCCCGTCACGTGTGAGGGTGTGATCAGCACTTGGATCTACCTCCAGGTGCTCCCTAGGCACTGCACCCCTGGCAAGGGGGATCAGGGATGGTGTTCTACCCACTAGGGTGAAAAATGTTCTAAAACTGCTCAAACCAGTCAGCAGGGAAGAGGCAGAGGACTCTCCCCCGTGTTCACACACAACCTATACCTCAAGGGGCTCGGTCCCCTTTGATAAAATATCCAGCAGGTCCGCAGAGGAGACAAAGTAGAACCGGGGAAAAGCCAGTCTTTTGGTCTCGAGGTATTCAGCCAAGGCCTTCTCACAGACCTCCAGCCTGGAAGAAAATGGAAAACCCCACCATCAACCCCACATATGCGTTTTACTCTTTGCTCAGCCCTTGTCAGTGCTACTTTGGGGGAATCAACCCCTTCCTTTGGCCCCCTCAAATGGTCCGCTGGGATGACTCAACACTCACCTGTCCTGCAGCGCTTCCAGCCGCTCGTGCAGCCTGGGCTTGTTGGTGCATTCAATCACGTTGGGAGTTTTTTCTGCGTCAGCCATTAGCTCCTGAAGAGGAAAAACACTTAAGTCCACCTGAAGTGGCAGCGAGCCACAGGGTGAAGGCAGAGTGGGAATGGGCTTCGCACTCGGAAATCTTCGTCGATGGTATCAAACTTCTTTGACTCCTCTGGCAGTTGGTTGCGGGTGTCTTCAGAGGCGATGAATATTGTTTCCAGGTGACCCCACTTCCTCTGCACCTCAAACCAGGTGCTGATAACGGCATCAGCTGTTGACAGCTTCTGCTGCCAGTCCTGTGCCTCCCGGAGGAAGAAGGCTCGGTACTTGGACGCTAACACATTCTGCAGCTGCACTTGGTTGTCCTCCAGCGTCTCGATGAGCAACTCATCTGCCTTGAGCAGTGGGAGCCCAGTCCTGGTGTGGGGCTCGTACTCAAACTGCATTGCTGCCCAGGTAGTATCCAGGGTTTTCAGCACCTGCAGTTGGGGCATGAGGATGAGCTGGGCGCCATGGTGCCGAGCCCAGCCCCTGCGGGAAGGCAGGGCACCAGAGGAACACCTGCTCCAGGCAGAGGCTCCATGAGCTCCCTGCTGCCTGTGGACTCCAGTGCCAAGAGCCAGAACACGAGTGCTTGGCAGCCACAGAATCACGTTGGCACTGGGCTTTCAGCAAAGCAGGGGAGGAGCCAAGCCCTGTTTACCTTCTCCATCCCTGCCTCCTTCGTGGCTTTGTCCACGATGCCGCGAACCTCCTCCTCGAACTTGTGCAGGTTCAGCTGCAGCAGATCCGCGAGGGTGGTGTCCTCGGACATGGTGAACTTCACCTGGAGAGGAACCGGCACGGTCGGGCCATGGACTCTCCTCTGGGGAGAGGCAATCCTGTGGCTCAAAAGAACTCATGAACACCTGCATTTGAAGACCCTACACAAATATTTGCATGTGGCCACATTTCAACTCGATGGCACCCTTCTGTTGCTGGGTGCAGATCTCAGGAGCCTCCTGGGCCAGGGGCTGGAGCCAGGGATGGGTGGGAAGAGCACCTTAGTTGCCTGCACGAGCTCCTGCCAGTGCCGGTCCCTGATGGCTGGGTTCTGCAGCTCGCTCACAGCACGCAGAGATGTGATCATGTTCTTCATGTTGCTGTCCAGCCCTGTGAATGCGTCCCAGCTCTTCACCTCCTTATCCAAGCTCCGGATGTCTTTAGCAAATTTCTTGCACTCAATATCCATATCCTCAACGTTGAGCTCACTCCACTTGGTCGTCTTCCAGGTGTCAATGCTCATGTTCACCTGGACCCCGGAGACATTTTCAGACATATGATTAGCAGAAGCATTCCTGCCCAGAATGAAGAGCAGCATACCCCGTGCCCCCATGCCCCCCAGGCACACACAGCATGCAGCTGTGCTGCAGACCTTCCCCCCATCTCATCCTCCCTCTGACAGCATCGACCCCTCTAAGGAGTCACTACAGCTCTGTATTTTTGACTGGTAATGCCTGGCTGGCACTGGGTGTCCATGCTGGATGCCTGTGCCAGGTGCACGTGCCAGCTGCCCGTGCCAGCCAAGAGCAGCCTGCTGTCCAGCCCTTGCCTGGAGCTAGTGTTGTGCACTGTGTCCTGGCTCCCAGATCGTGCCACATACCAGGCTGACCATGTCCCAGAGCTCCTTCAGCAGGCGCAGCTCCCTGCGACACGCTTTGAGCTGTTTGTACTCTGGGACTGACACCTCAAACAGGGCAGCTGAGGTGGCCAGGGCAGCCATGTCCCTCTCCATGGCTGCGACGCTCTTCTGTTGCTGGATGGAGAAAAGGAGAAGGTTTCAGCCAGAAACTGTGTGCCAGGGACATGTCTCCTACTCCAGTGCTGGCTCCATCCCTGCTGCAGGGTCAGATCCTCCCTGCAGGGCTGGGAGCTGGAGCCAAAACCAGAGCAACTGCCCCACCCCAGCATCCAATGCCAGGGATGGTCATGCAGCGCCAGTGAGGACACCAGTGGCCCTGGTGTCCTCTTCCACTTTCTTACCTTGTTCAGTGATTTGTAGGGGTTTGGATCCGTGTATGAAAAAGGGGCTTTTCCCTGGAAAGTCTCCCGGAAGGCATGCTGCTGGATCTGTGTGGGAGGATGGGGCTCAGGGGGACACGTGGGACCCGGCAGTCAGGAAGACCAGCAGAGTCTTCCCGAAGCTGCTGAAGAGCGGCCCACGTGCCCCCAGCCCCCAGGCAGGCACCTCGAACTCCTGGCACTTCTCGCGGAGGATGGCAGCCTCGCTGGCCTGCAGGGGTGCTGCGCTGTCCGCAACTCGCACGCACAGCCTCTTGTTGTTGTCCCAGCGCTCGGGCAGCTTCTGCAGTGGGCACCATGTGGGGTCACCAGCCAGGCCCCAGGGAGCCTCTCCCCGTCCCCCCGCACCCTGAGCAGCCTACGTTAAGCTGCAGGTGGATCTGCTCCGGCATCTCATCCCCGTAAGTCTGGAGCAGGGCAACTGTTTCCTTCAAGGGCTCAAACATGACATCGGTTGCTGCCTGCCTCTCCTTGACCCTTGCCAGATGTCTCATCACTTCCACCAGTCCATCATAGTCTCCCTCCTCCAGAGGTTTACTCAAGCCGGCAGTAGACTCTTGGATGAAATCCTCCAGCTCCTGGAGACTGGGAGGACAATGGCACTCACCAGGCATCCCTGACGGGGCTCAGGGCTCACTCTGCAGGGCCAGGGCACGGCACCCCATGGACTTGCCCCTGAAGGTGCTTGGAACCTTCACCCACACCTCCACAACTCTGTCCCCTGCAGCCAGCCCTGCCCTGGCACACAGAGGTGCCCGTGCCACAGCCCAGCTGAGCTCCAGTCAATGGTAGTGCCACATCCCCATGCCAAGGTTCACCAGGCCCTTACCTGGAGGTGACGTGGTGGGTGAGGTACTGGCGGAGCACCAGGCTCTGGCCCTCGATGACGTCCAGCAGTGCTTTCTTGAAGAGGCGACAGTCGCTCAGCAGCCACCCCCCAAACACTGTGGTGTCAGCAAACCCCAACACCTCTTCATGGAGCGCCTCGAGTGAATCGATCTGAGGACAAGAGCAGGTCACAGACCACGGCTGGCACCTCCCTGGGCACTTTGTGTCCTTCAGGGCAACTCAAGCACCCAGCACATGCCCAGGAACCCATCCCACACCTCCTCCTTAAAGAGCTGGAGGGATGGGATCCCACCGGTCGCAGGCTCTTCTGGAGGTGGTTCCGGCTGCACCTCCTCAGGCTTGGGGGCAGTGCCCAAGGTGAGGAAGCGCTGAAGGAACTCCTCAGGGGTCTCCTGCCACAGGTGTGAGTGCTCCTCAAAGCTGGCGCTGAACTCCTCGCCCTCTTCCATCGTGCTGACCACCAGCGACACCACCTTCTCCCGCATCCTCCCAAGGTCTGGCTGCTCCTCCAGCGCCGTCTGAAGGGACGGGCAGAGCTTGGGGACCAGCTGGGGGCACCGGGCACCTCGCCCACCTCCCGCTGAGCCAGGAGTTGCTGCCGCTGGCCACAGACCCACCTTGTAGCTGACTGCCCCCTCCAGGAGCCGTGGCGTGGAGGCCACTGCTGCCTCGGTGTCCCCGAGCAGCCCCTCCACCAGCGTCAGGAAGTTGTCGCCAGCCCCCACCTCCAGCGAAGGCTGGTACCGCACCCGGCCCTCGCACAGCTCCATCTGCACCTCGAACAGCGGGGACACCTCGGCCTGAAACAGATCAGTGCCTGGCATGGGGCTTCGTGTCCCACAGCCCCCAGCCCTGCAAGTGACAGGGACAACGGGGGACACCAGCACTGCTGGGGAGCACTGCAACAGGCACCTTTGGCCACTAAGCAAGCTGACAGTGAGCGGTGGGATGCCCCAAGACCCCCAAACCCACTGCAGGCACACTGGGACCTACATCAGGGTCCATGTTGCTGAGCAGTATTTGCAGGGATTTCTGGACAAATCTGCAGAGCCCCTCCAGTACGATTCTGTCTATGTGTTCCACATAGTCCAGCCATATCCGCGAGGACTTGTCAGCCTTAAACAGAGTTGCATTCTCCTGCCATGGGAAAATCAGGTAGTGTTTGTCAGTGAACATCCAGCAAAGGTGCTGGCTCCTGGCACTGTGGACAAATCCTTCCTTGTGGCCCCTGTGGGCCCATCTGACACTCCATCCCATGGGCCTCACCTCCACCATCCCCTGGATCCTCGTGCCCGTGTTCTCGATGACAGTGCGGCGCTCAGTTAAGGCGTTTTCTCTCCCTTCCAGGTCCAGGAGTGCAGTTGCCTTGTTCTCCTTCCTTCTAAACAAGGGAGTGGCAGAGCAGTCCTGCAGGGAGGAGAGAATGGGACTGCCCTGCTGAGGCAGGGAAGGGAAAATCCCAGCTGGATGTGTCCCAGAAAGATGCTTGTGAAGCACCATCAAACATTACCTCCATCAGCTGGGTGATATTCTTCAGGTTCAACTTTACTCTCTGGACCCGTCCCTGCAGGTCTTGCAGGGTGTCCCTTATCTCCTGGATGTATTCCATGACACCTGGGAGAAAGATGCACACACGCACAGGTTGTGCAGACACCTCCAGGGCAGCAGGAGGCCAGACGGTGTTGGGGACCCCCCAAAATGCACAGAGGATCCTCAGCCTTGGATGGCTGATGTGGGGCTTTGTACCTTCATGGTTCCAGAACAGGGACTGCTCAGCGCTGGCCAGGCGGCTGTCCAGGGCCTTCAGCTCCCCTGCCACCAGCGGCTGCTCCACTGGCAGCATCCCCTGCTTCACCTGGGGCCAACACATGCAGAGGTGAGTGCCCAGGTGGAGCAGGGACCCTGCTGCAGCCAAACGCTGAGGAACAGGGTCCCCATCCCTCCAACACAGAACTGAGGGGCGGGAGGAGGACAGCAGCAGCCACAGCTTGGCCTACCCACAGGATGGGCAGGGACCTGAGGTGCCAGTGATATGTCTGTGGTACCCCAGCCCCCCAGCCCCTCTCAGCCTGGCTGGGGCTCAGGGCATGGAAAAGCAGCAGGATTGTCTCCCTCTCAGAACCTGCCTCGTTGTACCAGCCCACGATGAGCGCCAGGTTGTCCCCAAGCTTTTGGAAAGTCTCATTTTGGGCAAAGAGCTGCTCAGCACTCTCCGGGATGTCCTGCTGCTGCTGGATGTTCAGGTACTTCACCTCCCGCAGGACGGCAGTGAGCTGTGAGACACCACCGTCAGGAAGGGGTTTATGGCAGAACCCACCACACTTCAGGCAGCCCCTGGGACTGCAGGGTTCACACTGGGGTGAGAGATGGCTGGTGTTCCCAGAGCCAGCACTGACCTCTTTGCTGAAGTTCACACTGAGGAGGGCAGAGATGGGGTCCCTGCAGAGCAGTGGCTGCTCCAGGCTGAAGTGGCATTCCTTGCCAGCTCCACTCGCCCACTCCCCGTAGACTTTCTTGCTGTAACCTTGCAGCAGTGCCATCATTTCCTCGTATTTCCCAGTCGCCAGCTCAGCCTCAGGACCCACCATGGCACTGTCAGGGTCACGATAAAGCAGCATTTGCTGCACACAACATGGGAGGGCACCCAGGCCAGGCTGGATCCTGCCCAGCTGCCACCCCGTGTCCCCATGAGGTGACAGGGGACCTGCACGTACGGGTGGTCGATGGCCAGCAAGTCCCTGCGTGGCCTCTCCAGCCTCTGCTGCAGCTCCAGAGCCCACTTCATCTGCCCAGCCACCGGTGGCATGTTCTTGTGGACGGATGGGGCTCCCCCGGGGGGTGGCAGGGACACAGTCTGGGTGTCGTACAGCACCTTCACGCTCTCCAGCTCAGCCTCAAACATTCCCAGCAGGGCCAAGTAGCAAGGGGAAGCCTCAGCTCTGATCAAGGGTCGCTCCAGCACGGAGGCAAACATGTGCACCAGCTGTGGGAGAAAGAGGTGCTGGCTTCTGTGCCCTGGAGCACCCCTGGTGACCCCCGGTCCCTGCAGGTGCCAGGTTGCCACGCTGAGGCACAGGTACCTTCACGGCAGCTGACAGGTGGTTGCAGTCTTCAAAGCCCTGGCAGAAGACAGCAGCCAGCTGCCTGTTCGCATCCTGAACCTTCTTCTGGAACTCTGCAAAATCTCTGTTCCATTGCTGCCAGCAAGAGCGAAATGATTTAACCTGGCACAGTCCCTGTGCCTGCTTCCCAAACACTTCCCCTGAAGTGTTTGCTAAACTTGGAGGGCCCAGAGCCCCATGACCTGCCCCAGAGCCAGCCCTGTGCTGCTGTGGGACAGTCCCATGGACTGCTCTGCAGCGTGTTCTGGCAAGAGATTTTTTTCTTCTCACTTAGCAAATGCTTACACCTCCATCCCAGCATCCATTACATTTCCATCCCCCCATCTGCTCACCTCTTCACTGGGATCCAAGGGATCATATTTGCGATCAGCAAAACTCTTGGTGACTTCACAGATCTCTTCAGAGATCTGCAACACCCAGTTCCCAAGGAAGTTTCCTCGCACTCCTCCCAGAACTGTCTTCTCCAGCTTCAGGAAGTCAATGGCTGCCTGGAACAGCTCCTGGCAAGCACAATCCCCCATTTCACTTGGCTCCCCCTGTCCCAGGCTGCAGGTGCAGGAGCTGCAGCACTGGCACAGGGCTGCATCCTGCCAGTTCACCATTCCTGAGGAGCATTCTCCCAGGGATGCTCCCTGGCCTGGTTGGGGGGTGCCTGTCTTGTCCTGGGGGCTCAGGGCCAGGAGGGCTGTGCCAAGAATAGTGCCACTGTGCTCCCAGCAATGTCCCATTGCATCAGCAGCCCCAATCCACCCCGTGCTGCTCTCAGGGACCACCCCAGCATCCCCAGGGCAGGGAAGGCCCAGCTGCAGCTGGCACTGTGCCCCAAAAGGCTGTGCTGTCACCTCGATGGTCTTGAGCCTGTGCAAGAAGGTTTCCATCCTTCTGAAGGTGCGGGTGGGGGGGAACTCCCAGAGCTGTGGCTCTTCCTGGGAGGGGAGAGGGTCTGTCAGTCAAGGGGGTGGGCATGGAGGGGGCCAGGTGCTTGCACACTGTCCCTACACTCACCGGGAACAGCGTGGGCATCAGGTTGCAGCAGTAAGTGCTGTAGGACTGGAAGAACTTCTCTATGGTGGAGATGCTCAGTTTGATTCCCTCTAGGGTCTCCTGGGGCTCTCCTTGCAGCCCCTTCAGCACATCCTCAGGGCTCAGGAACTTCTGGGTCTGGGACAGACAGATGCAGGCAGGGACTCTGGTCAGGAGGGTGTGAAGGTTCCTCATGTCCCCTTCATCCCCATGGGCTCGCTGGTGGCCACCTGCAGCCCGTGCCTGCCCCAGGCCCCCCCAGCCCCACGAGGACCCCTGCTGTTCCCTTGTCTGGGGTGTCTCTGTGTCCCCACAGCTGGACTCCCCACACCTGTCCCAGGGGGGCAGCTGGAGGGGATGTGGGTCGGTGCTGGGGCCGTACCATGGCGATGAGGAGGTTGCAGATCTCCTGCAGGACACGGGCTAGGTGGGTAGGTGAGTGGTAGAGCTGGCAGTGAACCCGGAGCAGGCAGACAGTGCAAAGCACCTTGGGCACAAAGGGCTGCAGCTGTGAGAGCAGAGCCCCATCAGTGTGGGGACGTGGCAGAGCCGGGGGCGTGCGCCCCCCCTGCAGCCTCAGGGGCTCCACGCTGCCACCCAGATGAGGCAGCCAGGCTGTGCCTGGTTATTTTGCCACATTACTTACCTGGGAATAATCTGATTGTTCCATCTCCTCCAGCAGCACCTGCAGCGGTTGCAGATGGAGGCTGACGTCTTTGGCTTCCTCCAGGCCTGGTACGGGGAGAAAACTGTCAGGATGGGGACACCTTGTCAGAGGCAGCCACCACCACATCACGGAGCCTCACCAGCACTGACGGCCCTGAACATGTTCTGCAACGGTGGCCAGTAGCAGCTGTTGGCCTTCTCCAGCGTCTTGGCCAGCACTGTCACTTGGGGTGAGAGCAGCTGGCACAGGAGAGGGGGCAGGCTCAGCACGGGGGGCTCAGCAGGGGGAGGCTTAGCACAGGGACGTGCAGCCACCACGGGTGGGGCAGTACCTGGTCGTTGATACACTGCAGGTTGGTCATCCTCATCTGCCAGAACTCGAACTCGACCCTGGGCAGGGGGTGCAGTCCCTCCAGCAGCAGCCGTGCTGAGTCCTGGCTCAAGATCTCTTCGATCTGCTGGGACCACTCAATGACGATAGTCTCGATGGAGTGCAGCACTGGACCATCTGCAGGCCCCACCAGGCTGAAAGGCAGACAGGTTATGCCCCATGGGAGCCATGAACTGCCCCAGGGGAATCCCAAACAGCCCCAGGGGGAGCCCCTTGTGCCTGCTTTGTGTGGAGGCCTGGCATGGGCCCCTCAAACCTTCTCTGCTGCAGGGGTGGCTGTACCCAGGGGCATGCAGGGACTAAGCCAGTGTTCCAGTTCCTGTCCCTCTCTGAGGGACTTGTGTTGCCTGGGCCCCTTTCCCTTTTCTGGCACCAAGTGATGCCAGCAGCACCCACCAGTCCAGGGCGGCGCCAGAGTCATCCCAGCTGATCAGGTGCTCGGGAAGTGGGAGCAGCGGTTTCCCCTGGATCTTCCCGCCCATCACGAACATCCTGCTCTGCAGCTGGTGGGTCTGTTGCACAATATCCTCCACCACTATCCTGGGCCAGCCCAGCCCCTGCTCCTCACTCAGAAGCAGGGGGGACACGACCTGGAGGACAAGGCTGGGTTGGGTGCTCTCTCAGGCACTCCCATGCTCGGGGCAGTGGGCAGTCATGCTGCCCATCCCACTGCCCCGTCTTGCTGCCCATCACAGCACGGTCTCAGCCCAGCTACAGCTCCAGCGGCCACCCATGGGTTTTGCTGATGTTTCTGTCATCAGTGTGACTTAGGAGTCCCCTTGGTCTGGGTTTCCAGCTCTTATGGGCTGGGAAGCGTTGGGACCCAGCAGGGTCAGAGGCTGGAACACAGGCAAAAGCCTCCAGCACAGAAGGGGAATCGTGGGGGCTCCTGGGGCCGACACAGCTTTTGGGTACTCTGGGCTGGCAGTGGGAATATTCATGGGAAGTTTGAGAGAAATCCACTCCGACATTTCCCAGATGTGGGGCAAGGGGGAGGGGGCATTACAAAGAGTTTCTAAAACCACAGGGAGGAAGTGATCTAGTTGGGCCCAGGAGAAAACTGGGCTGGTGATCTTCCCCCAGCTCCTATCCTGGTGGGGCTCATTCAGCCTAGCACAGGAGCTGCTGAAAGGTCAGGGCCAGTTGCCTGGGGCAAGGTTTTTCTATAAATGTCAGTTTCTTTCAGAGCCCAGCTGGAATTTTGGCTTTAGCAGCCTGCATGAGGCATCCCGGCACAGCACTGTGCCCGGGGAGCTCAGCTCATCCCACTCGCCCCGAGCCTGTGCCTGTGCAGGGAACCCACCTCCAGCAGCACGGTGATGAGCTGCTCCACAGGCGAGGGGCCAATGTCTCCCACCAGAAGACTGCTCTGGCAGTTCTCCTGGGTGATGTTCTCTCCCTTCTTCTTCACAAAGTAGATGCCCTTGCCCTTCTGGGCAGATGGGAAGCCCATAGTGGACAGGAGCTGCCCAGAGGAGTTCAGCCCCAACACCAGCTCCAGCGCATCCTGCTGCTTGAAGAACTTGTCCAGCGTGGTTGTGACCTCCTCGCTGCTCGCAAACTTGCTCCACTTGTCGCTCGAGATGCGCAGCAACGCCGTGACCAAGCTCTCCATGAAACCAAGCCGTGGGTCCTGCCCGGCCGACATTGTGCCTGCAGGGGCTCGGCTGCGGCTCCTGAGCACCTGATGGGATCCAGCGGCCAGCGGGTGGAGCTCCGCTCAGATAGAGGCTGCACACCCCTCCCCCCCCCCCCCCCCTCGACCCTCCCTCCTGCCCATCCCATCCCTCCACTGCCCGTCCCACCCCTCCGCTGACCTCAGCCTTCCCTCTGCACACGCAATCTCATGGGGAGCTGCCAGTCCCGTTCCTGCCTGGCCTCATCACCCCCAGTCCCATCGCCCCACAACCTGCCCTATCCCTGCCTGGTCCTATTGTCCTCTGATCTGCCCCACCCCTGCCTGGCCCCACTGCCCTCCTGGCTCACCCCAATCTTACCTGGTTCTACTGCTCCCCTGCCCTGCCGCGCCCCTCAGCCCTCCAACAGCCTCCAGCCCCCGTCTGCAGCCCAACTGACACCATCTGCAGTTCAACCGACACAGCCTGTGCCCCAACTGCCCCCAGCACCGGCCCAACCGACGCTGGCACCAGCCCAGCTGCAGGGCTGCCCTCTGCCCCGCCACATCCTCATCCCTCAGCCAGGGCTGGTGCCCACCCTGGCCTGACTCAGGTCACAGTGCCACGGGCTGCCCCATCTGAGGCACAGGGAGGGCAGAGACCACGGCAGAGAATGCCCCTGGCTCTGTCAGGGAATGCCCTTGCCTCTGGCAGACCCCCACCACGGCACAAGTGCACAAGGCTGGACCAGCCCCCCCAGCCCTGGTGGCAGCAGCACAGCTGGCACAGGCTCTGCACCCCCGGCTTGCCCTCAGCCCCATCTTGGCTTTGATCCCATTCACAGCGGGTACCACCTGGGTATGAACCCCCCAGCCCCACTGCACAACGAGGTACCTGAGTGGATGCCCCACCACTCCTGTTGTCCCAGGCCCTTTGCACGGTGCAGTGAGTACCACTGTGGTGGGCAACCACCCCCCTGCCCAGTCAAACTCGGTGCCAGCCCCACTGGCCAGCAGGATGCAGGACCAGGAACTGTTCCAGCCCAGCACAGCCACCCATGCCCTGTGGCAAGGTCCCCAAGGCACTGTCCTTACCAGGGGCGGCTGGTGAGGGCACAAGGCTCACAAACACCACCAGCACACCAAGAAATATGGGGCTTTGAAGTGGAGCAGGCAGAGGCTCAAAACAAGACCTGCACTGGCCCCAGTGCTGCCACTTCACCCAGTGTGGCATCGCTGCGGTGCCGGTACCGAGACCTCGGGCGTGAGTGGTTCAAGGCCGGGCACAGGGCAGGGGCTGGCAGTGGCGGGGGGCATGGGACTCCTGCCCACGCCGAGCTGCACACAGAGCACAGGAGGCCAAGTGGAGCGCAGTGCAGTGTTTATTTGCTGCCAATCCTCAGCACTAGTTTACAAGGCCATGGCAAAAAAAAAAAAAAAAGTTAGAATAAAAAATCCTGCCCCCCCGCCCCGCGAGGCCTCTGCACTGAACCACCCACATACAAAATAATCTACAAGGAGAAAACTATACAGGAGTATTTACATCTCTGATAAATAGACTAATACTGATCCAGGCATCTCCAGACCATGCGCAGGGACAGGACTTGACATGGGCGGATTGTGAGGCAGAGAGTGAGGGACTGCAGCCCCCACCCATCCAGACCCTTGCCACAGCCATTCTCAGGGCAGGCTCCAGATCTGGGCATGTCCCACCATGGCACCATGCCCCTGGCACGAGGGGGCTGTGCTGCAAGGATGTGCCAGGGGCAATGCCACCCAGTGCCACCTCATCCAAGCCACAACCCCCAAGGCTGGATGAGTGCACGTCTGCGCCCTGTGTGGCACCACTGCAGACCGTGATGGTGACAGTCCCTGCCCTTTGGCACTCCTGTGCCCATGGGGACCGTTCCTGATGCAGGGGGCAGCTGTGAGGGTCTGAGGCAGCAGCGTGGGGACACCCAGGACAGACCCAGGCCCGCTACAACGAGGGCCGGGAGCTGTGTCTCTGTGGGGCCTCCCTGGGCCTGATGCCCTGCACCCCAGCACCTGGGGCACCCCAAAACTGCCAGCTACTCACTGACAGCTGCTCATCCTCTTGATGGGACACCCCAAGTGTGTCTGGACACGAGTGCTGGGGGGATGCAGCGCCACGTGCAGCCGCAGGGTTGCTGGGGGTCAGGAGCAGGGAGGGTGCCTGTGGTGCTGAGGCTGGAGCTCCCAGGGGTGCTGTGTCCCAGCTTGAGCCCATGAAGACACTGTCCTGGTGATGAGGCAGTGATGGAGGGGCAGAGGCACTGAGATGCCTGTGCCCCCTCCCTCCCCCCACGGAAAAGAAACAATGAAGCTGAAGTTGGGCCCTAGACCCTGAGGGCCAGGCTGCAGCGCAGCCCCCACCGCACAGACCCCCGGCCAGGGGGACGCTTGGGCTGCCGAGGGCACGCTGGCCTCACAAGGCCAGTCTGGCTGCTAGTGTCTCTTGGTGGAGGAGACCTTCTTCTTCCTGGCAGCCAGCATCTCATAGAAGGGGTCCCGGCTGATGGCTGCCCTGGCAGGGGAACAAAGGTTGGGTCAGGCCAAACTACTGCAGGGCTGGGTGCGATCTGCCTGGCAGGGCCTTGGGCACATCCCTTTATGTCCCTGGGAAAGCTCACTCTCCCTGTCCTTGCAGGGTGCCCCAGGAAGCACTGTCTCCTTCAAGGGCAGCAGGCAAGTCCCTGCTGTGCCCCTGCCCAGCACTGTGCCCCCCCCACTCCTCTGGGCACTCACTTGATGCACTTGATCCACTCCTCCTTCTCCTCGGGTGTGGGGGCAGAGATGCGGTACACAGTATGGTTCCCCTCCACCACACGCCCATCTGCCTCTGTCTTGCAGGCCTTGATCACCTGGTCCTTGTTGTCAGGGATGTAGAGCTCGAAGCAGTTCTGGGAGGGAAAGATCGCTCAGAAGTGGCTCCCTCCCCTTCCAAAGGGGACCCCAGGCTGGGAGGGACGAGGCAGAGCTGTGCTCTCCCAGTACAACCACCCCAGTGTGGCAGAGAGGGATGGACACGCCGTGCTCATCACCCCACAGCCCTGCACAAGCTCTGCCACCAGTCCTGGTCGCTGCAGTGACTGGCCCCAGGTCTGCACCTGGCCACTGTGACGGTGGAAGCAGTGACCACTGTGGGGCCCCCCGCCTCTCCTAGGGGCATCCCGGGGAGCTGCAACACCTCCCAGCTTTCCCCACCCGAGCCAAAGCACCAAAGCCCCATAGGACACCGCTGCAGCACTCACGGGCTTCTTCGAGTCCTCCACCTCACGGATGCTCAGGTTCTCCAGGGGGATGATGCCACGGGGCTCCTTATCCTGGTGCGGCCAAGCAGAGGTTTAGCTGTGGGATGGACACTCCCAATCCAGCCCCTTCCCTGCCCCAGCTTGGCTGGTCCCACACAGAGCCCACTCACCGTTGTGTACTCGAAGTAGTAAAGGCAGTTGTCGGTCAAGATGAACCAGCGCCGCTTCCATGTCTTCACCCTGCCTCCTGAGAGCAGAGAGGGACGGTCGGACACAGCCCTGCGGGGCGCAGCCGGGCACGTGGCACACGGCAGCGAGGGAGCCAGGCCGACACACACGGCTCCAGCAGCACAGGGCCCGGGCACACACACAGAGCCAAGCAGAGCCAGGCAGCGGCGGGCAGCAGCAGCAGGCAGCACACACCGCACCGAGCCGGAGCGGGAAGCGGACCGATGAGGATGGAGGCGAGGGTGGGGTGCCGGGCCGGGAGTGCCAAGCCCGTTCCCACCCAAAAACAAATTCAGCACAGCTAAATGATACTGCAGCCAGGCAGTTCCCCGGGGGACACAGGGACTTTCTGTCCACACTGACCATGGCCCCCCCTCATCCCCGTGCTGAGCCACGGCCAAGCTCAGCAGCCACCACCACAGTGGGAAAAGCCACTCCCTGGGCACAGGGGCCACTCCCCCTGGGCTCGGCTCCCCTCCACCGTGGCCACTGCAACAGTGCTAGATGTGGGATGACCACCCACCCTCGAGGATTGGGCCTGGTTTGGACACAGGGAGCCACGGTGCGCACTGTGCCCCCTGTTCCCCCATGCCAGCTGGGTGCCCACTCCAGTCCCTGCCCCACAGTAGTTCCCAGGGCCAGCACCAATGCCCTGACACCCCGGGGTGCAGGTCCTGGAGCCGGGGCAGCACTGGTGCTCGCACAAGAACTGCTGTGAGCCCTTGGCACAGCACAGGGCACCATGCAGATGGCTCTTGCCTGCTTCCATCCAGCTCCAGGCGCTCGGCACCCCTGAGCATCGCGCGTACAGCCCTTGCCGAGGACACACCAAACCCATCCCCATCCCCCGTGGCACCAGATGTGAAGACACACTGACCAGGCTGAGCTGCCTGCAGACAGCGTAGCATGGCCGGGTGGGTCACCCTGGCCAGCAGCTGGGCAAGGAGCCACTATGGCTCTGTCCTCCCCCAGGGTGGTAGAGGAGGCCGCAGGCCTTGAGGAGAGTGTGGCATCGGTGGGGCCACACCCCAGTCCCTGCCTGGTGGCAGAGCAGTGCTGTCCCACGGCAGGCGAGGCCCCCGGGCGGTGCGGGGTTAGCAGCAGCAGCAGCAGCAATGAGACTCATCACCAGCAATTAAAAACGCAAAGGAAACGAAGCCCCAGCAGTGTGAGCAGAGCACGGGAGAGGGGTACGTACCTCCTGGAGTTGGGGGGCAGGGAAAGGAAGAGCCAAAATCATGGAAACATACAAATGAGGGAGAAAAGAAAATTAAAAAAAAAAGGGAAAAAAAAAATAAAAAGAGGAATCCCAAAGCCCCCCCTTGCCCTGCGGGTCAGTAGGGCCAGGCTGCAGCAGGGAAGCTGTAAGGGGTCAGGCTGGTGGCATGGCCGTGGGGGCCAACTGCCCTGGCTCACTGTGGCTCTGTGGGATGGGGCTCCTCAGCTGCTGGGCACAGAGCCTGGCACCCTCCACCCCATGGCTGACCCATAGGGTCTCTCCCTTCCCCACAAGCGAGCTGGGGTCCACAGCCACTCTGCTGCCTCTCTGCCCTTCTGTCCACCCATAGTGGCAGTACCAACCTGAACCTGCGTGCTCCAGGCCCGTCCACCTGCTGGGCACTGGGCTTGCCAGAGATGGGAGAGCCTGGAGCTGTTCCCCCAGTCCCCTACCCCAGGATGGGGAGCAGGTGGCTCTTGCTCATCCCTTGGGCCAGCAATAAGGCCCCGCCCCCTCCCAAGGGGATGGCCATACATCGGGAATCCCAACCCCAGCCAGAACCCAGGGAAAGGCCCCACTGGACCCCAATCCTGCCGGCACCCATCCCCCCCCCCACTGGACCCATGCAGAGGATTCCCCAGAGGTGCTGAGAAGAGAAGCCACAGGAGCCAGGGCGCGGAGGGCTCCGGCTGCAGGAGCCGGGCGGTGCAGCAGGGATGCCATGCACGCTGCCTGCATGTGGAGCTGGGATGCAGAGGTGATAATGCTGTGGGAAGGTGAGGCAGGGGCTTGTCTGTGGCACGGAGGGGGGACACACGCAGCCTGGGGCAGCTCGCCGCTCACTCCCAGGAGCCTGTTCTGACACACCCTGCTGTGACTCGGTGACCTGAAGGGCCTCAAGGTCTCCGTGCTTCGACACTGGACCCTGGTACCAGTTCTGCATCCCGGGGGCTTGCCCAACCTAGAGGCAGAATCCCCTGGGATGCCCACCCTGCCACTCTGCAGGGCCTCCTCAGCTCTGAGTTCATTCCTGCTGCCCAGCCAAGGGAAGATGGAGGGCTGCTGGATGTATGGATGCCTTTCCCGAGGGAGCCGTCCCTCTCTCTGCAGCCTCCTCAAGCTCCGAAGAGCCAGGGCAGCAGTGTGGGAAGCCCAGAGGCATTGCACCCCTGTCCCAGGTCTGTGCCTAGGAACAGCATGCCCTTCCTGGCCACCAGCACTCACCAAGCTTCAGGAGCCAGCCCTCGCGGTCAGGGTTGAAGAAGGTGTGCGTGAGGTCGTTGCCATCATCCTCAGGGATTTTGAAGGGCTCGTTCTTGATGCTCTCGTAGAGATTCTGGTACAATGACACATGGTGTCAACTCTGCTCTGCCCTGGAGCCCTGTGGCAGGCCCTGCTCCAGGCCAGCTCTGCAGCCTGGCCCTGGCCCCTCCACGCTCTGGCCCTCACCCGGAGCAGCTCCTCAGGCAGATCTCCCCCGTCATTGATACCGCGGTTCATGGCGATGAACCGCTCCGCCGTGGGCTTGTCCTTCACATTGGGGTTGTGCAGACTCGTGTTCAGCATGATGATGGCAAAGGAGAGCACGTAGCATGTGTCTGTGGGGGCAGAAGGGAAAGTCAGCTGCGGGGCAGGATGCCAGGGAGAGGGTCTGGGGCAGGTGCTCTGCTCACCTGTGGACTGGAAGACACCGGGGTTGCACTGGCAGTACCGCTGCGCAAAGGCCTCCATCATCCGGTCGATCTTCTGCGCCTCCCCGGGCAGCCGGAAACTCCACAGGAACTGCCTACGGAGAGCAAGTTGTAGAGCTGATTTGGGGGTTCCACGGTCCCTTGGCCCATCATGGTCCCCCGCCGTCCCCCAGATGGGCCACACTGAGCTCCTGGCCCCTTGCTCACCGCAGGGCCTGCACAAGGTTGAGGTCGGTGAACTCGTGCAGCTCCACGAAGGCATGCAGGACTTGGATGTTGAACTCATCCCTGTGGGAACAAAGCCAGAGCACGAGGGATGCATGATCAGCAATCCTGTGACTGAGGAGCAGCCCCACTGTTCCTGTCCTGCTCCAAACTCTACTCATTCATGGGGGGAAGCTGCAGCTACCCTCAGCTCGTGTCCTGCGCTCATCTGCACACACCAGCCACTCGCAAGTGCCAGTCAAGGACTGAACACCCCCAACTGCCCCCAGCACACCGGGTACCCCCACTTGGTTGCCCCGTGAGCTCAGAGCTGCAGTGTCCCATCTCTCAGGCGGCAGGAGCCCAGAAAGTCCCCAGGAGACCCCAGGCCAGCACACCTCTCGCCCAGGTAGTCACCGATGGCTGTCTTGTTGAGGCCTTCTCCCTTGTACAGGAACTGAGCGATGTCCTCGCACGTGTTCTTCAGCAGGTCATTCTCAATCAGGAACTGGATGCCCTGGAGCAGTGCAAGAGGTGCTGCTCAGAGATCCGCTGCTGCCTCCGCCAGCCTGCCTGCTGACCCGAGCCCCTGTCCACGGGCTCTGCCCTGGCTCAGGCATCCAGACTGGGAGGTGGCAGAGCCCAGCACAGTCTCAGAGGCTGCTGACCCGCCCTGCTCCCCACTCCAAAGTACCTTCTTGGGATCCATGTTGAATTTCTTCCTGCCCATCGCCACCTGCTTGTTCCTCTGCATGTTTTTCCTGCAAGGCACGAAGCAGTTCTGAGCATCCAGATGGGACCTGGTGCCTCTGCCCGGCCCCTGGGGCAGTGCACTGCAGCGAGGGGCAGCCCAGAGTGGCAGGAGCCAGGCCCTCATGCTGGTTCTGCACAGGGCAAAGCTGACACACTGCTCTGTGCCTGCCCCGTGCTGCAGCCCAGGGCTGCTCTCAGCCTGCCGGGCCCCAGAGCAGAGTGGAGCTGCTGTACCCACTCTAGGGGTCACCCTGAACCGAGGGGGTGCAGGTACAACACCTGCAGGTCAGCCGTGCATGGGGAGGCTTGGGTAAGCTGGCTGCAGCAGGGCTCTGGGGAGAGCAGTGGGGCTGGCGGGAGGGGACAGCCTTCACGCCCCAGTGGGTGATTGGGAACAGCGCTGGGAGCCGGCTCCCACCAGCTGCTGGGACCCCTAATCCCGGCTGGCACCGCCTGCACCAGCTCAGAATAACAAAGGCCCACAGTGGCTGTATCAGACAGAGGGGCAGGGGCTTAGAAAAACAGACCTGGGAGCAGCAATTGAGGCTGGGATCCTGCTCCCAGGAGCCCAGAGCGCCTGGGAAAGCCACCCACACCAGTACTCATGGGCCAGGTCTCAGCTGCCCTCCGCTCCCACAGGGCACCATAGAGGGCTCAGTGGGGCTCTGAGCCGGGACTCACCTCTCCTCCGTGGAGCCCAGGCTCTCGATCTCATTTGTCACTTCTGCTATCTCATCCTTCAGGCGCTGTGGGGAGAGAACACTTTGGAGGGGCCTCCACCCCAGCCCTCCAGCCCTCAGCCCCAGAGCCAGCCCCATTCCTCCAGATAGCCCTGCAGAACCTCCTTTCTTTCTTCCTTCTCTCCATCCCCCTCCCACCCTCAAGCACTGCCCTGGGGCTGAACCAGCTCAGGGGGCACTGTCAGTGGGGATGGCTGTTCCCCCTCCCCATCCCCCCATCCCACTGCTAATCCCTGCAGCATCACAACGCTCCCAGCATGCAGGAAGGAAGAGATTTGGAGGTTAACAAAATTACCCCTAATCCCTTCAGATCATGCCCAGCATATGGCAGTAATTAGCCTCTGCTGCCTTAATCGGGGACAGGACTGACAGTGTCCTAGATGAGCTCTGACCTCGCAGGCGCCTGCCAGGGCAGTGGCCTGGTCCAGAGACATGGTCCCTGCCCGTGCCAGGCAGGGGCTGGCACAGACACCAGTGCCCTGGGACATGGCACAACTGCACAGCCTGGAGCTCTGCAGGGCACAGGAAAAGCCATGGCTGCCTCGGCAGGGCAGAGCAGAGCAGCCTGGCTGCCACCTGGGATCACGTCCCTGCTGGGAGCCTCTCCCTGTCCCCAGGTCGCCTCAGAGGAAACGCTGTGAGGCAGTGGGGTAAGGGACCCTGGATGGGGCTGCAGGGACCCTGCCAGTGACATGAGCAGGGAGATCATCCTCTGCCTCCCAGGCTGTTCTCTGAGACAGGGCATTGTGTGGGTGTCACCCCTCAGCATTCAGACCTGTATGTCAGCCAGCAGCTCCTGCTTGCGGCGGCGGATGTTCTCCAGCTCCTGGCACTCCTCTGGGGTCAAGTCACTGGGCACTGAGCAGAGATACGGTCAGGTCAGCACGTGTGGCCCTGGGAATCAGCCCTGACAGGCTCCTGGCATGGCCTGTGCTCTCGGCTGGCAGTCCTGGGCCTGGATGGAACCAGAACATGGAGCTGCCAGCTGCCCAGAGGAGCCAGGCTGATGAGCAGAGTCCCCAGCCCTGCGGAGCAGCCAAGTGGCACTGAGGGCATGCAAGGAATGCGAGGGCTGGGGCATCGCCCTGCCGGGCAGCGGCTACAACAGGGAGCTGGGCACCACCGTGTCCTGCTGATTCAGCCCATGGCAGCTGCACAGTGAGGACCAGCACAGCCCCCAGACCAGCTCCAGCGCTGCTCCCGCCAGCCCCAGCCCTGATGCCCCTCCATATCCCATTTCACTCTGCTCCATCCCAGCCAGGCTGGTGTGGGTACCCATTCTGGGCCCTTCCCTGGCTGGGCAGCTCTGCTGGGCCCCATGGCACAGACCTGGAGCCCTGCAGGTTGTTCTGCCATACTGGGCCAGCCCCAAACATAAACCAACTCCTAGCCACCCCTGCAGCCCACTCTGCACTGGATCCATCATTCCAGGGCAGGGTCTGGAGTTGGCACACCCTCCTGCACACCATGATGTCTACACCTCCCTGTGACCCCGGAGAGCCAGGCACTCCCTCCCCAGCAACATCAGAGGTTCAAGCACAGGGCTGCCACACGCCCCCCCTTGCTCCCAGAACATTCTTAGTGCTCCCTGGTGTGTGACCTCCTGAGTCACGGTGACAAGCTATGCCATTCCTGTTCCCTCCAGTTGCAAGGTCACCTGCTCCTCCAGCAGTGCTCCCAGCCCTCCTCCTATGCCTGTGTCTCCCACCTCTGCCAGAGGGTTCCACACTTTGTACCAAAGTCGCCCACAAGGACACCAAACCACCATCCCTACAGAGCACAGTCCCCAAGGGAGGTGGCAGCAGCACCCACAGGCTCAGCTCTCGTGTCATCCCCACCTCCCACCCCGGGGTGCTGGGGACAGGCACCAGTAGGCTGTCACATCCTCCCCTGCCCCAAGCGTTACCCTCCATCCCGCTGACGTCCCGTGTGCCACCACATGCACAGACACCAGGCCACCGCTGCTGCCAGCCAAGACTCACCGGAGCATCCACAGCACAGTCACTGCCCTGTGCCAGCGCCCAGGGACACCATGTGCCTTTCACTGGTACCATCCTCAACCACACATCGCTTCTCCCCGCGCCGCCTCCGAGGGAGCCTCCCTGGGGTGACCGTGACCCCACACCCTGAATCTCTGAGCTCAGCACTTCCCTAGCCCTGCTCCGGTTTCTGATGAGCTTCCTCCTTTGCAAACCCCTCTGCCAAGGCTGAGGCGCCTCAGCTTGCGACACCGCGCCCCAGACCTCACGGGGGCACTTCCCAACGCTTTCAGCCTCCCGTGTCAGGAAGCCTGAACCAGATAAGTTGGCTCAAGGCACTAGGTTAAAAGTTACTTAAACTTCTAATAACAGAGCTGTGTCGATGCATCCGAGCGCCTTCCACAGCCCCAGTGCTGCTGCCACCAGCACCAGCCCCCCCGCTCATCAAGCCCAGGCTCACTGCAGGAGGGATGAGCTGTGTTGTCAGACACAGAAACCCCCAAATCCCTGGGCTGCAGAACCCTTTCCCCTGGCTGCAGGACCCTCCTGTCTGGCTGCAGGGAAGGTCAAATTCAGTGCCAGGGCTGGAGCTGGGCCAAGGCGAGCGCTCAGCGCTGCCTTCCCCTGCCCACCTGGGAGTGGTCGGGGGTCTCGGCGGGGGTCTCGGCGGCCCCAGAGCAGGCTGAGACGCTGCAAGGCAGTGGGGATGTCAGGGCTGTGCCGGAGCCCCGGAAGGTCCCTCCCAAACGGAGGCTGAGCACTCGTGACAGCGGCCCAGCCATGTCAGCAGCAGCCAGAGGAAGAGAAACCCCAGACGCAAGAGCTTTTCTAGGGAAGGAAGAAGGCATTAACCCTTCCCTGGCCTGCACCCTGGGGAGTCCCAACGGGCCTGGCTGCAAGCAGAGCAATGTTGATGGATGGGGAGGCTGGAGCACACACTTCCCCCAGCCTCAGCCTGGCAGGAGTCGCACAGTGACCCACCAGATGTGGGATTCCAAGCAGTGTTAGGGTTCCCCATCAGACAGGGGACCAGGGGCTCCCACACCTCCTGCTGCTGGCAGCTGAGCCTGAGGACCCTGCCCAGGAGCAGTAAGGGCCACCGGCAGGATTTGTCCACCTGTCTTGGACTCCGGGTTCGCCGTGGCCTGCAGTGACCTGGAGCGGCAGCCACAGCTCATGTCCCCTCCCCACTGTGGCCAAAGCAAAGCCCCGTGGCACAGGGGCTGTGCTCACCCCGTGCTCTGTCCTGTCCACTGCCCCGAGGCCCTCGGGCAGGGCTGGGGGCAGGGGAGGGGGGCAGACACGGAGCCACCCACACCCCTCACCCACACCCCCCAGCTCACCGCTGCCCTCCACCCTGAGCACCATCGCGGCAGGGCCTCACACTGGCCCTGCTGGCCGTGCCTGTGCTGCCAATGGTTCCACAGAGCTGCTGCCGTGCCAGGTGCGGGCACCCGCCACCTCTGTGCCTCTGCGGTGACTCAGGGCCACGGCACCAATGAGCTCCAGGGCCGCCCGGGCGTCATCCCGGCCTTGCCGGGAGCCAGCACCACCAACACCCTTTTCCTGCCGCCATGAGCCAGAGCCACCAGCACCTTAACTCCTCTGCTCCCGGTTGAACAGGCAAACAGGGCTGCCCCTCCTTGGCCCAGGGCCAGAGGACTCGATGTGCTGGGATCCCTGACACAGGTCCTGGGGCTGGCCTAGCCCTTCCTTCCTCGGGGGCTGCCAGGACAGTCACCCTAACACACCCAGAGATAACTGCGCAATGAAGGGCCCCCTCTCTTCTCCTCTGCCAGCTGGGTCCCCCCACCCCAAAAGACCCCCAGCGCTGCCCTGCAGCTCCTCCCGTCTCTGCTAGACCCCCTGACTTCAGGTCCAGGTCCTGTGCCAGCCGTGGGGACCACTGGTCCACAGGCTCCATGACAGCTCCCTTGCTCCAGGGTGCCTGTAGGGACCCCACTGCTCCATGCAGGACCCCTTTGCAGCAAATCCAGGCTCTATGGTGTCGTGGTTGCAGCGAAGAGAACCCAGCCCGTCCCTGCTCCTGTCAGCTGCCTGCAGAGGCTGCATCAGCCTCGGCCGCCTTGACTCAGCTAAATCCTGCTCAACAGCACGAGATGGAGGCACAGCACAGCATCAGGAATGCCAGCTATGGAGTGAGAGGAGTGCAAGCTTCAGAAGCCTCAGGATGTCCTTTGGCCCCCCGAGCCACAGCACCAGCCACATGCTGCTGGCCCACGCTGTGCCACACCAGAGAGGCAATGGCCTCGGGGTCAAACAGACTATGGAGACAAGCCCAGGGTCTCCGTGTGCTGCTCTGGGTGCTGCTGCCCACCATGCCCCTTGGTGAGGTCCCATGGGGCCCCCAGGAACTTCCTGCCTGTCTCCCTGCACCACATCCTGTTTTCACTGTGCTGCGTGCACACCCCGGTTTGCATCAGCCCCATCCTTCCCCACCGACAGCCAAGGTGCGTCAGGAGAAGGGTTTCAGAACAGGCAGCTTCAAGAAAGACCCTCCAAAGCTGCTGGATCCCGTGCCCAGGGCCCTTGTCCTGCTTTTGTGCAAGCCCGCCCAGCACTCCCGCTAAACAACCCAGAGGCCAGCAGGAAACCCTGTCCACAGCCGCTGCCTCACTCCCAGTGGCTCCAGGCTCTGGTACTCCCCCACACAGACCCCTGGCACAGCCAGGTGAGCACTGGCTCAGCCATGTCCACGTGCATCGTGCACTGTGCAGGTGCCAAGAGTGCAGCCAGCCAGGCGCCTCACCTGCTGTCAGCACCACTCACGGTGCCAGGCCTTGGGAGGAGCGGAACCCGCTGTTGCTCAGCCACAGGGCTGACCAAGGGCTGACCACAGCCCCCTGCCCCACCGCGCAGCACTCCCTTCCTGCAGCCAGGCAGGAACCTGCAGACAGCAGCAGCTCACACAGGCAGCCAGCCCTCAGCACATCCCCAGCGTGGCAGGCACTGGGTTTTCCCACACAGAATTCCCTTTGGAGAGTGCCACCCCAAGGTGCCCTGGCAGCCACAGGCAGTTGCCATGGTAAGGGCAGCCAAGCGCTCACACATCGCAGGGCAGAGGTGAGGGGTTGGGGCAGGACCCGCCGTGGCTGCGCCGCACTCCCTGTGACCATCGAGTCCCTCTGGCTCCCAAACAACCCCCATCCTAGCGTGACACTGGTTCTAGCGCAGGGCAACGCCAGGCAAGGGGCCTGTGCCTGTCTGTCTTGCTGGGGCTCGGTGCTTGCAGAGGACCGAGCCTGGGGAGGTTGGCAAAGGAAGGAGGCAGCAAGACGGCGAGGACAATGTGTGCCGCTGTCAGCAGGAGCCATATGGAGCTAGAGCCATATGGAGCTGGAGCCACGGGCACCACCGTGTCTGCTGGGGGATGGGGACCCCGCAGCACAGAGGGGAGGGGGGCACGCAGCGCCTACCTGCCTTGGCAGCCACCGAGGGGCAGAGAAAGGCCTGGAAGCTGGAGGCGCAGAGCTCGCTGACCGTCCCCATGCTTCGGGGTCCCACACAGGATGCCACCAGTTCCAGGGGGCAAGGCAGGCGCAGGCAGAGGTCCGGCAGCAGCAAGCAGAGGCCAGGCAGCAGCAGGCAAAGGCCAGGCAGGTGCACGTGGCCAAGCAGCGGGCTCCCTGGTGTCAGGGCCCCAGGGCAGGGTGCAGGCAGGGGAGCCAGAGCACTCCCGGCTCTGGCTGGAGCCGGCTCTGGCAGGGGAGCTCCAGCCGCAGGAGCCCACGCGCCAGTCCCAGCCAATCCCCGCCGCACCGGCACACCAGCCCGTGCCGCTGCCGGAGCCCCGGCCGGCGGCTCAAAGCCACTTAGAGGACGAGGAGTTTGGGAAGTCCCCGGTAGCCTCTGCGCCCAGGCCACCTGCCCCCCAGCAGCCCCCTTGCCCCCGCGGGGGGCCGGCAGCGGGGTATTTTTAGAGCGGTTTTATCCCTCCGTATTAGAGCATTAAGCATCGGGAGCCGGCGGTCGCGTAGCAACGAGTGCTGCGTGGAGGAAGGTGCACCCAGAGACGGCGCGTGGGGGTGCACCACAACCCCCGCTCCCGGGGTGCAGGGCCCGGGCTCTGACCCTGGCACAGCCTGACAGGCTCAGCCGGCCCTGTGTGCAGACGTGGGCAGGTGTCGAGCCCCAGTCACACCCCAGAGGTGCTGCCCACTCTGCTCTGACCCTAGGGTGTGGGGGGCCTTCTGCAGCACCAACTGGGGGGTCTTGCCCTGGGATCCCAGCCTGAGGCAGAGCTGTGAAGCAAGGGAAAGGTGCAGCCCTTCTGCCCTCCTACCCTCCAAACACTGAGCAAACACAAACCGGACTGACAGCTCCTTCCCTCAAAGCAGAAGCGATCTCAAGCACAAGGCACACCATGAGTAACAAACCTCAGGGCCTGTCGGGGCAGGAGCAGCCCAGCAGCTCTGCTCACCTGCCCCAACAATCACTGGGATTGCTGAGCCAGGAGTAACCCAAGTGGGGCAGGCAGGAGCCCAGAAGGGGTGGGCGGTGGGGAAGGGCACCCTGGCAGGCAGGAGCAGTCCCTGTTCCTGGAGCGCTGTGACTGCAGACCGGAGACACAGCGGAGAAGGGCAGCTGCTGGAGCTGCGAGGGCAGCCAGGCACTCACCAGGAGTGACCTCCTGCTTTCAGCATCACTTCCCCTTTCCCAGCCAGAGCGGTGGTTGCCCCATCACAGGGAGGCAAAAGGGCAGGCGAAGGGAGCCGGGGACACAGCAGGGCTGAGCTGGGCATGTGCTGTGGCAAACGTCTGCCCAGACCCTGGACTGGCATCTGGAAAAAACCCCATAGGGCACATGGGTGCTTTGGCCAGGATGAGGCAGGGCCAGGTGGCACCTCCCATGCAGAGTGATCCAGATGCCTGGTTCGGTCCTTGCACCCTGCCTGGGTGAGGTGGGGTGCTTACAAACACCTCGGGGTCACAGTAACCACAGCTGTGGCCCCAGTGTGTGATTGTGAGCATCAGCAGTGGGGCTCATCATTCTCTACTCCAAACATCTCAGGAGAAGAACCAGTCAACTGCCTCTGCCCGAGAGCCCAGCTCTGCTCTCTGAGCCCACTGCTTCCCCTGCACTGTTTCTGCACCTTCAACCTGGGAGCCCCCAGCTGAGGGCCCAGTGACTCGCCCTGGCTCACCCCACATCACGCCAGGGAAGGGACTGAGGCATCACTGGCAGCTTCCCCAGCAGCATCCCCTGTTACAGAGGGGCATGCCACAGTCCCAGGATTCCTCTGAAACAGCTGAGCCTGTGCCAAGAAGCTGCCAGCGCCCACTGGCAAAACAGGGCTGTGCAGGCTGGCAACAAGGACAGGGATTCCCTGGGTGGGGAAGCCCCTGGCCTGCTGGGGGATGTGGCAGCCCACCCTCCTTTGCAGATTGCCCACACCTTGCCCATCCTGCCTCCATGCATCCATCCTGCCCCAGACAGAAAGGCCCCCCAGGCACAAGCCGCTTTGCTGGAGGCTGCATCAACCCCGCTTAGAGAAATCCCTTAATCCCCAGGCCAGAGTGAGCAGTAATCCCTTGAGTGCAGCAGGATTACCAGCACTGCCCAATCCCTCTCACCCTGGGCCATGATGGGGCCGAGCTCAGGACAAGGTGCTGGGACTGGACCGTGCTCCCCACTTCCTCTTGCTGGTGCTGCAGCTCGATGGGGTAGGAGCAGCTGGGATACCCCCTAGCAGGACACTGCTGCCCCATGGTCCAGAGGCGTTTCACCCGTGCTGCGACGCTCACTCAGCTACGGTGAGGTCTAGGATGGGCTTGGTCTCACCGCCATCCCATGGGGAGGGGATGGGAAGGGGAAGGGAGTGCAGCCCCACGCTCCGGCAGGAGTAGGGGGAGCCCACATCTGTGCCACCAGCTGCTTGCTCCAGGATTTGCTCTCTGCTGAGGCAGATAGGCTGAAGAGGGGTTGTGAGCTGTGGGTCAGACATTGGCATTAGCAAAATCCCACCAGCAAGTCTCCCTGTCGGCTTCCACCATGCTGTGGCCTCAGCAGAATGTCCCCTGCTAGACCAACTCAGCTCAGGGGCTTCAGGGCAGCTGCGGGGTTCTGTCGCCCCTGGACAGCGGCGAGGGTTGGAGGTGGCTGTGCTGCTCCCTGGGGGTGGGGTGAGCAGGACACTTGTGATGCTGACAGATGACCCGGGACATCTTCCAGGTAATTCCGGGAAGCTGTGAGAGGCTGCTCGCTGCATCGCTCCCCGCGGCGCTCTCCCGCTAACGGGTTGTGTCTGACAACGCCCGAGCCAGGCCGCAGCACCTTATCTCGCACTGTGAAGTCCTCGCAGCCAGGCACAGTCACTTCTGGGGTGGAACAGCAGTTCCTAATCGGCTGTGCCGCACAGCTGTGCAGGGAAGGAAGGAGGCCCACGAACCGGCACCGGCTGCTCCCGCGGGAAGAACGGCCACCAGCACGGCTCCCCCACCGGGGCCACGGGCTCACATCTCACCCTGACTGAAGGTAAAATCACCTGCCGACCACAGGAACCTGCCTCGGAGGGGCCCGGCACAGGCACTGACTCCCCTGCCCGGTCCTCAGCATCGGGAGGGAAAGCTCGGCAGGCACGGAGCAGGGAGGGAAGCGAGAGGCAACTGCGTGGGCATGAGAGAGAGGGAACCTGCAGCCCCCGAGCCGCCGCTGCCCGGCCTGGAGCGTGTCCCGAGCCAGGGGGGTTTGTGACAGACAGCCGCCATCGAGGCGACCCTGCCCTGAACTCTGCGGGGTCGGGACGCAGCAGCTCCGCGGGGGCACCTGAGAGCCAAGTGCGAGCAGCAGGTCCCGGAGCTCCCGGTGCAGTGCGGGGAGCGCAGGGGGGGCAGCCCCGCGGCTCGCCCGCCCCCCGTGCCGGCGGCGGCAACTGGGTGCCGGCTCCTTCCGGCGCCTCCTCCGCCACCCCGGCCCCGCCCGCCCGAAGACCGCGGTCGCTCTGACACCGGGTCCCGCCGCCCCCCCGTCCCGCACCTGGGAAGGGAACGGCCCGGCCCAACCGCGCCCGCCCGGGAGAGCCGCTTCCGCCCCAGCGCGGACGACGGAGAACCCCGGCGCTTCACCCCGGCCCAGGTGCGCCCTAAGCCCTCGCCCTCCGCCCCGTCCCGCAGGGTGCCGGGACCCCCGGCCCGCACTGACCGCAGCCGCCGCCCTCCTCCTCCTCCATCCCGCCGCCGCTCCGGCCCCGCCCGCGTGACGAGCGCGCCGCGACCGCCACGGCGGTCACGTGGGCCCGGGGGCGGAGCTACAGCGACCCCGCCCCTTTCCCTGGCCCCGCCCCTTTCCCCCATCCCGAGCGGGCCGATGGACAAAACCGGGATTTATTCCTTTAAATCCAGTCCTTCAGTGCCCGCCGCCCGCCCCATCCCCGCACCGAGCCCACCGATGGACACACACCGGGATTTATTCCTTTAAATCCAGTCCTTCAGTGCCCGCGGCCCCGGCGGCAGCGCCCCATCCCCGCACCGAGCCCACCGATGTCCCCCGCGCCAGCGCGGGGCCGGGACAAGCGGAGAGGAGGCTTTCAATGCGGCTTGCGCAGGGAACGGGGGTCAGGGAGCGCCGGAGGGGGGGCATCCGGGAAGGTGAAGGGCAGCGGGAGGCACAGTGACACGGAGCAGCGGGGACGATCTTGAGGCACTTGCCAGGAGCCCCCGCAGGTGTGGGCTGGGGAAAGGAGGGGAAGAGGCACGGAGAAGTGAGGAGCCTGGCCAAGGCATGTTTGGAGGCACGACAGCATGGGCAGGCTCCTTCACAGGTGGAAAAGAAGCTTCCAGAAGGTGAAGGCATGACCCCAGGACAGGGGCCGCATTCCCTCCTCTCTGAGTAGGGTCCACCAACAGCTCCCAGGACAGTGCTGCCTGCCCCTGGTCCTTCACCTGGGACTGCTTCATGAGCTGTCTGGGGGATGCAGATCTCAACCTGTGAGGCAAGAAGCAGCGTCAGCCCCCATCGGGCTGCCACCCCCTTCCTCCCCCCAGCTCACTCACCTGAGAGCCGGTGGCCCAGACTGGCCATCTTGGCAGGATGCGACATCAACCAGAAGTTGCGCTTGTTCTGCAGCTTCTGGAAGGGATTTGAGTCTCTCTTCCGCTCCTGCTTCATCTTCTTCATTTTCTTTACCTGTGCAGAGGCAGGCAGGCTCTCAGGTCAGAGGGCAGAGTCCCCAGCCTCCTCCCATTGCCCCAGCCCAGCACACGGTCAGCACCCACCTTTCCTTTGTCGAACTCCTGGTCCCACTCATCGATGACGGTCTCACTCCGGGCCAACGCCGTGTCCCGAATGGCATCCTGGCTGACGGCGGAAATCTCACCCTGCCAGGTCAAGACTGCAGAGCTGCATGGTCAGCAGGAGCACAGGGCTGTGCTCCACCGCACCTGCCTGCACTGTTCCCCCACCAGGCCCGAGGATGGAGCCCCTTGCTTCGGACCCCCACCCTGTGCCACCCCTGGCAGCCCCCAGCTGGGTTCACCCGGCTCCAGGAGCCCCATCACTGCCTGTGCTGGAGCAGGGGTTGCTCAGACCCTGGCAGAGCCTGCCTGTATGCAGGGCTTGGGGCAGGGGGGCTGTGCGGCTGCTTGCCCACCCAGGCCATCCAGGATTACCTTGTTTGCCATAAGCCTTGTCCAACGAGTCCTGGAGCAGCTCGCCCACCACGCTGGACTGCTGGCCCCCAGGGGCTGTGCTAGCCCAATTGCTGACTGCAGGGCTCAGGGCAGCCAAGGTGTGTCTCTCATCTCCAGTCTGGCTGTCCTTGGCACACGCTGCCACTACAGAAACAGGCGGGGTGAGGACGGGCTGGGGGAGCTTGGGGAGTTCCTGCGACCCTCCCTCTCCAAGGCAGATCTTACCCCAGGAGACACTGATGGCAGAGGGTGTTTGGGAACACCGGGACCTATGATCGGGGCAAATTGTCACCCCTCAAGGAGCCTGTCCCCACCCCTCCTCCAGAGCACAGCTGGGAGCTCTTGGGCTGTCCCACAGGAGTAGCAGACAGGTCTGGGGCAGGGCAGCCCAGGATGGGGGGCAGGATGACGGGCACTGACAGGCAACTGTGGGACCAGCAAGCACTGGGAAATGCACAGCAGTGCTCTGAGGGGCCCATGGGCAGGTGAGTGGCTGGCTCAGCCCTGCCAGGCACCAGACAGGGCACATGGTCACACCTGGGGTGGTGGTGGTGGCAGGGACGGCGTTGGCAGCCGGGCTGCTGAGGCTTTCCATCCACTTGCGCTTGTGCTGCTTGCGCTCTCCAGCCTCCACGCTCCGATGTGTCTCACAAGGCTCCAGCTCAGCCCTCCTGGAGCTGGGGAAGGCAGCAGGGTCAGCTTGCTCCAGCCAGACCAGAGCAGGGAAGTCTGAGCACTGCAGGGCGGTGGGTTCAGGGACACCCGCACTGCACTCGGGGAGGGGTGAACCCACCCCAAGGAAGTGGGTGCTCCAGCTGGATCCATGCCAAGGCACATCCCATCCTCAGGAAGATGAGAAGCCCCTAACCATGGCCCAGGGAGCCTGACCTCAGGCTCTCATGTGCCCCTCACCTGTCCAGTGACAGCAACTCAGAGCAGCACTCTTCTGTCCTCTCCAATGGCCTGTCTTTGATCCTGTTTTTCTTTTTCTTCTTCTTCTTCCTCTTTAGTGAGAAGGTTGGCTCTATGCCCAAGTCAATACTGGGCTCTGGCATGTGTTGCTTGGGCCCACTCTCCATGTCCTCACAGCCCAGACCCCCCAGGCCATCACCAGGACCCTCGCCTTCTGTCTCTTTCCCCACAGCGGATACAAAACCCTCCAAAGAGACAATTCTCTTCTTCCTTGGGGGCCTGGAGTCTTTCTCCATGAAGTCCTTCTGAGATCCAATGCTCTCCTTCTTGGGGGGCCTGCAGTCTTTGTTTTTGAAGCCCTCTGAAGGGACAAATCTCTCCTTTTTAGATGGACTGGAGACTTCATCCATGTCACAGCCACATCCACCCACAGCCACAGCACAGGAGTTCCTGTCTGTGCTACGACGCTTCCTCTTTCGACGCTTCTTTTTCCAGGAACCCTCTGTTTCCAACTGGCTGGATCCTTTCTCGCTGCTGCCGGAAGGAAGGTGGAGTGAAGGGTGGGCAGTGGAATCGTGGGCCGGCGGGGAGGCTAAGAGCTGAGCGTCCAAGCTGAGCGTGAAGCTGAAGGAAGACTTTTCAGGACTTGGTTGTTTGAGAGCAGATGAGGGCAGGCTGAAGGACAGGGAAAGAGGCTGATCTGAAAGCCCAGAAGCCCCTCTCTTATGCCACCCTGACTGCTGCCATCTTGGCCATGAAATCAGAAATCAGACATTGGTCCACAAGTGCTCACAGAGACCGTGCACCACTGTCCCACAGCAGACAGGGCAAGAGCGAGCACTGCTGCAGCACATACTGCTGTTGAAAGCTGGAGCAAGATCTAGACCAGGCTGGTGCCTCCTGATCCCATGGGACACTAGTCCAGGGTCAGGGCCTGCAAAGCTCCCTCCCACCCTGTGCTGACAGTCAGAGACTGCCCTGTCAGCCCTGGAGAACAGGAGAGCCAGCTGAGAGGCCACACAGATGCCCCACGGAGCACGCCGAGGCTGTCATTGGCCTTGCTGACACGCAGGAGCCTGGGAGCGGTGGCACTGCTTACCTGGACTTGCCCAGAGGCCCAGGAGTGGAGTCAGGGTGGGACAGTGCGTGGCGGTCACTCCTGCTCGCCTTCTGCGAGAGTTTGCCCTGCAGTTATTGACATAAATAAAAACTTGGTGGTCTAAAGCAGAGGAGTTTCCATGAGCCAAGAGAAAAAGGGGAGCCCAGAGAAAGGGGAGGGGAACAGATACAGACAGGGGGAGGGAAATAGGGGGTGGAAGAATCAGAAGTGTTTTCAGTTAGAAGAACAAAGGAAAAAAGGAAGGAAAGAAATTTAAAGACTTGGAACCCCAGCACACCATCCCGAGCCTGACTGCACTGCAGCCCCGAGGGCTGGTCCCACACACTGCCTGGGGAGAAGGCACCCACACCCTCCTGCAGCAGCATCACTGCTGCCACTCACCCCACGGAACGTGACCCCAAGAAGGTGCCGAGGCCACCCCTCCATCCCACGAAAGGGGCAGGAGCCATCCTCCCACATCCCTCAGGGACGTGAACAGCAGCAGGCCCTGGCACATGCCGACCCAGAGGGAGGGCAGAGCAGCCACCACCACCCTGGGGGGCTCTTCCCACCCACTCCCAACTCAGCAGGCGCCCAGCAGTAGCTCTACACTTCCTCCAACACAATCTCAGGTCAGAAGGTGTTGAGTGGAGTCTCTGGGCAGAAGCTCAGACTCACCTTTTTGGCAGAAAGTGACGGTTTCTTGGCCAGTGGTGGTGATGTGGTGCTGCCCTGCTCCTGAACGGCACTGCACAGTGGGGAGGGTTTCACAGTGACTGTCCTGGAGTTTTTGGGGGCAGCCAGATCAGAGTCTTTGGGGACAGCCGGCTTGGTGCCAGGGCCAGTGGGGAGGTGGGTGCCAAAGTTCCTTCCCTGAGAGCTGCAGAAGCTGCTGGAATTGCTCTTGGCCTTGTGGGTCTCCTTGGCCAGCTGCCCCACTGCGCTGCCATGGGAATCCTTCAGGGTCCCGGCCATCGCCCCATGGCCACCAAGCTCCTGGTTGGACTTCAGCAGCTTGGATGAGGTAGGAGGCTTCTCTCTGTCTGTCCCCTGTGGGGGCACCCCCACTTTGGCCCCACTCACAGTGCTGGTGACATGGAAGCCTGCTCTGGGCACGGCAGGTGTCTGTGGCTTCTTGGGCCTCTGGAATACATCATGGGTCAGTGGTATGTCCTTGTGGGTGGCTTTGTGAGGCAGTTTGGGTGATGGGGTCTGAGAGGGCAGCTTTGATTGAGCAATTCCATTTGTCAGCTTCAGCCCCACGCCAGAAGCGCTGCGGGACACAGGGACTCCGACATCGTCTGGGCCTAGCAGCCCCTTCCCCGGCAGCTTGTCTTGTTTCTAGGCAAGGAGAAAGAGAGAAGTTCAGTAAGAAGAGAGTCAAGGCGCCACAGACACAGGAATACTGCCCTCCAGGATCCCTGGGCTCAGCAGGATCAGGATCCCTGCTGCACACTCTCCTCCCACACTCCTGTCTCCCAGTGGCTGCAGACCCCGGTCCCCGCAGAGCAGCAGCTCCCGGGAGCACCGGCCGGGAGCGCCGTCAGGACTCACCGGGCCCGCCGGGGGTGTGGGCAAGGTCCCATTAGTCTCGGTTTTCTTCACCTGACTGAAGTCGCCACCAATGTGGCTGGACGGGCTGGAGGCAGCCTTGGCCACAGGCCCTGCTGAGCTCTTCCTCGGGCTGGAGAGCCTGGGAAGGCAAAGTGCAGGTGTCAGTGGTGGGGTGTGAGCGATCGTGAGTCTTGGCAGACACGCTCACGGAACAGGAGCCAGGCACTCCGAGGAGGTGAGGTGCTACCAGCAAAGCCATGACAAGAAGCTGGACACCTCCCTGCCACCTCCCACCCTGAGCCAGCACACACACACAAGCATTGGGGTTGCTTGGGCCAAGCTCCCTCCCCCAGCCAGGCAGGTGCTGCCATCTCTGTCCCAGACGCTGGGAGCAGGGGCAGAGGGGCTGGGAGGCACAGGGTGCTCTCTCACCTCAGGTAGAACAGAATGTAGGCCTGCTGGTTGAGGACCACCTTGATGTTGCTGGGGTAAACCTCGTGGTCATTCATTCGATACCACTGCCCATTGCTGGCCTGCAGAAGAAGAGGGAACAGGATCAGGCTGTGCCCAGGAGGAGAACAGGGTCAGGCTGTGGCCAGGGACACTTCTGGCCTGCAGAGCAGCAGGAACAGTACCCATCAGCAGAGCTCCTCTCCCCAAAACACACAGATGACCCAGGGCAGGCCAGGGGACTCTGCCAGAGCAGAACTTCACATTTCCTGCAGCAGACTACAGCCTGTGTCCCCTATAGTGCTCAACACCACTCTCTCTGCCGAGCACCCACCTCTCTGCACCCTACAAGGACCCAGTCCCCAGCCCAGGCAGGGTGTCAAAAGAGCACCCCAGGCTCACCTTCACATAGCAGAAGTAATGGCCTGCATTGCAGCTGTACCCAGAGTGCACCAGCACTGCATAGAGTCCATATGTGACAGGATCACCCTTGGGCTCAGACATATAAGGGCGGATATCCAAGAACTCAGGGTATCCCACATCCTGCAGAGAGAGAATGTCTCAGGAGGCTGCACAGTAGATGGCTTTCTTGCCAGATCAAGACTGGCTCTGCTGTCCTACGAGTCTTGCCTCCCGAGGGAGGGGACACGCTCTCCCCAGGCAGAGATCATGGTGAGGAAGATGCCAGGATGAGCCCAACTTCCCCCATGCAGGGGGGAATGGCTGCAGGCCTGTACCAGGACCACCTCCTGCCCTGCCCTTGGACCAGGACACAGCCCCTGCTCTGGATTGCTGAGCACTCACCTTGGTGATTTTCCTTCCACCTGAAGAGCCGCAGCTGCCAAAGCGCTTCAGTGAGATCGTGAGAACATTGGAGGCTCGGTGGATGGTGAAACGTTTGCTGGCTGACACCTTCTTCCTGCACCTGCCCAGGAAAACCTTGAGCTATTCAAGCTGTTCCACCACCCAGACGACTGCCTGCCCTGGCCATGGGAATGGCAAACCCCATGGGAATGACCATGCTGACACCAGGCACTGCTCCAGGTACCTGCCTGTGGCCACGTCTGCTGGCCCAGGTCCTCCTCATGAGCAGAGGGAGCTGAGGAGTGGTAGGATTCATCATAGGCTTTCGTGGCTCTGTACCTCACAGTTTAGCTGTGGAGCAGGTACAGAAGCCCCTCCATATTGTGGCAGCCTTCCACACCCGTGGGCCCCGTCCAGCCTGCAGCCCCCCACACTCACATGCTACACCTGTAGGCGTTGTCCCCCCCCAGCTGCTCCGGCTTCACGAACAGCTCCAATGCCCGCACGATGTTTGCGGCTCGCTGCAAAGACAAAGTGGAATTCAGGGCACGAGGGGCCTGTTCACACCACAGCTGTGCTCCGTGCCTGGTCCAGGAGACAGCACACAGCACAGGGCCACAGGCTGCCCCAAAGCCACGAGCCTGCCCCCAGCACACCAAGGGGGTGGCTGCTCTGCACCCAACACCGCCAAGCCTCCACAGAGGAGTCGTGGCTCCCGCTCAGGCAACGGGGTCCTGCTCTGCCAGACAGAGAAGGCAGTGGAACAGCAGGAGCTGCTTCCCTCCCGCTGGCACCACGCCTGCACACTGGCAGGTTAAGGAGCCTCAGAGCAGGAACATCCTCCCGAGGGCAGAGCCCCCCAACCCTAACCCTGCCTCACTACCTCGACCTCCAGTGTCACATCCAGGTAAGGGTCATAGGTGTCCGAGACAGTCTTGCACTCCAGGCATTTCACTGCAAAAGGAAGAGCCATGAGCGCACCCCAACAAACACAACACCTGTACCTGCCACCCCCAGTCTGGGTTTGGGCTCTGGGATGTGAACATCAGGATTCACAGCCTGGCAGGGAGAAAGGCTGGTGATTCCATTTTGAGCTAGGAAAGCAAATGCTGCTGGATAGCTGGGAAGATGGATCCCTTTGCTGGTGGCACACAGCCAGCAGCTTTTCCCATCACCACAACTGGGGTCACAACCCTCAGGTACCGCAGGACCAACTGACTGTGGCTCCTGATAAGATACACATGCTTAGCCATTTTCCCAAAGAGTTCTAATGCCCAAACCCTGGCCCTGGCAGCTGGCACTCACCACGGGACCGCAGGTAACCGCCAAAGATCTGGTGAACCAGGGTCGTGGCCTGGGTCTGGCGATCCAACCTACACAGAGACAGCAGCACCAGATCTCACACCACCCCTCTGCAAAAGCCACTCCTGTGGGACCCCTGTGTCATCAGGACAGCCCCACTCCATGCTCTGGGCAGTGGCTGGGCCGTGGAGCTCCAGAAGCCGCAGGAAATCACAGCCCCCACTGGCCTGCTGTCCCCGTGTCACAGCCAAAGGATGGCACCGGGCCCCAACACGCACCCTCCTCTCGAAGGAGCAGAGGCTCCTGGCTGAAGGTCAGAGCTGGGTGCTGCAGCCAAAGGCAGTGCTTCCTGGGATAAAGGGCCTCAGGGAAGCTGCACTCCCACAGCCACACAACTGGGGCTGAGCTAGCAAGCATGCCTGGATCCCTTGGCAATTGGGGTGGTATCCCACCCCATAGCAGCTTCAGGATTTTGGGACAGGACTGCAGCTGTGCCGGGCTGAAGGAGTCAGGAGAAGGCAAACAACAGCCCAGAACCACATCCCTGAGGGCCAGAGAGCTGAACCCCACACACGAGGCCCCTGAAATCACGACCTCCCCACAATAAGGTCAACCTGGGGGACATGTTCACCCCACAGTCCCCTCCCATGAGCACAGGGGACCAGGGAGGGGTCAGCAAAGAGCAGTGACGGGCCATCAGGCCCCACGTACTTGGTGTAGCCATTCAGGCAGGCCTTCTGCATGGCATCAATGGTGTAACGCAGGAACTCATGTGCATCCTCCTGCCTGCCGAAGCGCAAATTATGGGAAATCTCTACAAGAGAGGGAGGAATTAGCATGTGCTCCAACAGATGCTGGCCGTCCCTTCCTCCCCTGGGGCAGGAACTCTGGGGTTCAAGCCCCTTCAACCCAAACCAGACATCAGACTCATGCCAGCCATGGGGCAAGTCCCAGGCAGCCCCCCGGCAGGCTCTGTGAGTTGTCTCAGTGGAGCCATCTGGCCAAATGTGCCTCAATCCCAACAGTTCTGCTTCCACTTTAGTTATGGGGGGAAGGGCAGCCATCCTTACTCTTGAGATCTCGGATGATGGACAGTGGCTTTATCGCATTGCCGCTGTTGGCAAAAGCCTGGATCGTGTGGTTCTGCATAGTGCACATCATGCAGAAGCTTCCGTGGGCACCTGGAACAGGAGAGACAATGGGACGTTGGGGGCAAACTCGGGAGAGATGGAGGCAGCACAAGGGATTACAGCCACACTCAGTTTTCCCTTCGAGCCCTGTGCTTCAAGACAGCTCTGGGGCATCCCAGAGACATGAGAACCAGCACACGCCACACCGACCAGCAGAGCCCATCACAGGACCAGCCATGGGAGCCCCCTGGTGAGACAGTATCCACATGGATGGAAAACAGGTCCCAGGTACTCACTGGATGAGCCCACGGGTTGGCTCTGAGGGGTAGATCCCACCGGAGTCCTACAGACAGGGCTGCAAGCTCTGTGTGTTCCCCAGGGTGACAGCTTGGAGCAGGGCCTGCCACACTGCCCTCATGCAGTCCCCACAGGCAGGGGCTATTTGGAACCCCTCAGCTCAGCCCCCGAGAAGCCAGCAGGTCTGTTGGGCCTATCTTAGTCCTGGCTACACTCAGCAGAGACAAAGTCTCCCCAGAGGCAGAGATGCTGAGCTCGGGAACACTGCTATCACCAGGAAACATGAGTTGGACCCAGGAACAGCCTCTTGATGGAGAAACAGGCAGAAGAGAGCAGAGAAGGTGCAACCCAACACCCACACCCCCTCACCAGAGCCAGGCGCAGAGGTGCTGAGCACAGCACTGCGAGCAGGACCGGCAGACGCTGCTCCTCCCTCCCGGCCCCCCGAACTGGGGTCCCCACTCACAGGTGCGTCCGTGCTCGCGGGAGAGCAGGTAGTTGGTGAGTGGTGGCGTGTAGGTCAGGCACTGCAGCGCGGAGTTCAGGAAGCAGGTGTTCCCCAGATTACTCAGCCCGGCGCCCACACGGTGTACACGCTCCCACTTCATGGAGAGGCGCTGGGCTGGGAAGAGCACCTTCTGGGGCGCGGGGATCCCGTCACCCGTGGGCCTCGGGGAGGCTGGGCTGCGCCCTGTGGAGAACGAGTGGTCAGCCCGAGGGGGCAAAGGGGAGCAGGGCACGGGAGCACGTGGGTGTGCCCGCACCCTTTCCACTCACCCGGGGGGTTCTGTGGCCGCTCCGGAGGGCTGCCGGCGATGCCGAGAGGGCGGCCCAGGGCCTCGGCCCCGATGTGCTCGTACTTGTCCCGCAGGTGCTCCAGCTGCCCGGCCAGGCCGCGCCGGGCGGGCGCGAACTCGATGCGCTGCTGCAGCACGGAGCGGGCGGCGGCGGCCAGAGGCCGGCCCAGCTCCGCCGCCGCCTCCCGCCGCACCGGCTCCAGCGCCTCCCGCAGCTTCTCCGCGATCATCGCCGTGGGCGGCCGGCTCGGTGGGCCCGGCGGCCGCGGCTGCGGAGAACGGGCGGCTGAGCGGGGGGCCCCTCCCGTCCCGCTCCGGCTCTCAGAGCCACCGGCCGCGGCCCGGACCCGCCTCCGCCGCCCGTCCCGGTCCACACAGAGGGTCCCCGCTCGCCGTGAGCACCGCGCCCCCCGCCCGCCGCCCCCCAGGCGCCACCGCCGCGCCGCCCCGGCCCGCCCGCCGCCATGTGCGACCCGCCCGGTCCCGCCGCTCCGCTGCCCACGGGCGGCCCTGCTGGCAGGGCAGGAGAGCGCGGCGGGAGCGCAGCGCAGATCCCGGCGCCCCCGGGCCCGTCCCGCCCGATCCCGGCAGCGCTCACCATCCGGGTCCCGCCGCACGCACGTGTCACCGCAACGCCTCTCGCCCGCCGCCGCCACAAACTCCTTCCGCGCCGGCCCCGCGGGGCGGCCCCGCTCCGCCTCTGCCTCTGCCTCTGCGCGGCCGCGGAGCCTGCTCAGGGCCGGGCACGCTCCGCCCGCTCGCTCGGAACAGCCAACCGAGAGACGAAGCCGGGCCGCGGCCGCCACTCGCAAGGCGAGCGGTGCCACCCGGGACCGCCCCACGCGGGACCGGACACGGGGCCCTGCGCGAGGCGTGGCCCGGCCCCGTCACACCCCGAGCCCGCCCCCTCCGGCACAGACCGCGCCCCTTCACAGCCCCAGCCCCGCCCCTCTCCGGTCCCGGTCCCGGTCCCGGTCCCGGCCCCGCCGGACCCCGCGCTCAGCGCTGCCGCCGGTCTCTGAAGGTGGCCCTGCAGCAGCTCTTCCCCTCGCCTTCTCGTTCCTTGTCCTCCGGGGTCCCGCGTGGATCCCTCCTCTCCGCGGCTGAGGAGGACCGGGAGGCCCCGGGGTGTTCGGTTGGATCCGGGGGGTGGCGGGAGCCGGGGAGGTCCTGGCCGAGCCACCGCAGGGACCCCGCCCATCGTCTCCCCTCCCCGGGAGCTCCCGGCACGGACCCCCCCGCCGGTACCGGGGCGGTTCCAGCGCCGGATGAGGAGACGGAAATCACGGCACAGGGACCACAGAGCCGGCGGCAAAACAAGTGGCGATATTGAAGTCAAAGACAGAGGAGCAGCAGCGACAGGAGCACAGCGGGTATAGCCATACAGAGCGCCTGGGATGCGCGGTCGGGACTGAGTAAAGGTTGGGTGTTTTTTTTTTTTTTTCTTTTTCCTTCTTTTTAATTTTTCTCTTTAATATGTTGCAATTGCCCAGACTGGTCCAGTATGACATCTCAAACCTTACAGGGACACACAGCATGAAAACGCCCCCGGACGCAGGGCCACAGGGAGCATTCCTGGCATGCTCCCAAAGCCGTGGGTGCACATGCCGGTGCCACGGGCACTGCAGCGGGGCAGCTCTGCGACACACGCCAGCACTGCTGCAGCGTGGAGGTGGCTCAGAGAATGTGGGGCCGAGGGTGCAGGGGGTTCACTGGAGGGGACAGGTTTTCCTGCAGCTGCCCTGCCACCGGTGGGTCTCAACAGGTCCAACGGTGGCAGCTGCAGAAGGATCTGCTGGAGGTTGCAGGGGAACGGAGCCCACTGGAGAGAGGAACATGTGGAGAGAGGGGCAGCAGTGCCTGGGTGCACGTGGGGATCACCCCTGATACGCTAACGTGCCCCTCCAGCTTTTTCGGACAAGGCACCTGCACGAGTCCTCTGGCCCTGTGAAAGGCCTGGAGCCCCTTGCACTCAGCTGGGGGCTCTGCTGCATGGTAAAGCCCTCAGGAGCCCCTGCCCAGAGAGGTACCCTTCCTGCACCCCGAGGGGACGGATGGGCAGTGGGTGGGGAGGGGGACAGGGTGGTCTCTGGGCACTGTGGTGGGGAGGGCTGCCTGGCCAGAGCTGCGGGGGCGGCTCCCGCGGCGGGGGCACTGGTAGACCTGCTACGCAGCTGGGGCAGCTCCCGCCACTCAGAAGGGCTCGATTCCTTCACAGCTGCCAGGGCAGGGCCAAGCATGGCTGGGGAGTCATGATGCTGGCAGGGGGACCGGACCCCACACCCTGCTCGGCCCTGCACAAACCCAAGTTCCCAGTGTGGCCCTGGACTGCCAGGTGCCTGTGACGAAGTGGGTCCCCGTCCCTGCCCCCCGCATGCACGTGGCAGCCTCCAGTGACCCCCGCGGCCGAGCAGATTTTCATGCTGTCTCCAGGGTTTGATATCAGCATGGACCAGTCTAACATCTCGCAAGTTTTTTCTACTGGCTACTGGAATGCGCTTGTTTGGCTTAGGGGTCCTCGATGTCGAGAAACTCTTGCTTGGGGGGGGCCATGCCACGGTACCAGGCACATGAGCCGTCGCTCCTCTTGATGCAGGCGTAGTGCTTGGCCTGCCGCCCATCCACGTTGTTCTTCTCCATCGCCCAGTCTGTCCAAAGACACTCGTCCGAGGAGGAGACGAAGCAGGGGATGGAGAGGCAGCGCGAGATCTGTGCACAACAGAGACTGTCACCCATCACCCCGACGGGGGACACTGGGCTGGGAAGAAGCAGTGTGGGGCAGCTGGGTTGGGGGGTCCTGCACAGCTCTGCTTCATCCACTCCCCCATCTCTTAACACAGATTTCAGGCTGACTCTGCACTGTGAGGCATGGTGGGGACATGACCCTGATGTAGGGGGACTGAGGGAACCCCTGGCTGGCCTCGGTTCCCAGCCAGAGGGAGCCAGAGGCTCAGCCACCCTTCCTGTCTGCCTGGCAATCTGCTGTCTCTGCACAACTTCATCCTTGCAGGCCAGGGAAGAGCATCTCCCCACGGGACCTGCCGCTCCCTGGGGGCTGCAGATCCCCCTGGTGTGGGGGACAGCCTGGTCACTCACCTTGCACTCGCAGCCCATCTGGTACCGCTGGTTTAGGCTCTTCTTCTGGGTCGGGGTCAGCGAGTCCCAAGTGGAGACCAAGTCGCAGAGTGTGATGTGCATCTTGCCATTGCCCTCTGACTTACCTGGAGAGAGGCCAGACAGACCACTCAGGGGGTCCCCCCAGTGCCCCAGGACCCCAGACTGATTGGGGTGCCTGGGTCCCCTCACTGTGCACTGTCTCTGGTGACCCCCCAGGGAGCAGAGGCTCATCCCCGAGCTGCGCCTGCCCCAGCCAGGGCTGCTGAGTGTAGCTCGGACACAGCCGGGGGGTCACCTAAGGGCGATCGGTAGGAGCTTGAGGGATGGGGGGGAACACGCCCAGGGAGCAGGCGCACACATCAGGTGTCTCCAGGGATGGGTAAGGCAGGAGGGTCAGCACTATCCTGGCACCCCTCGAGCTCCCTCCCCTCCGGTGCCCACCTGCGATCAGATACTCCTTCTTCCCGCCGGTGTCCAGCAGCCGGCCGCACACGGCAGTCGACGGAGCCGTGTAGATGAACTCTATGTCCTGGTCGGGGCCCTTGAACATCTGGGGAGCAGAGGCAGGAGTGAGTGGCTGGTGCAGGGGTGCCTCAGCCGTCCCCCTCAGCCTCCTGCCCTGATATGCCCTGTTACCTTGATCTGCTTGATTTCATACTGGATGCGTTTGATTGGATTCCCGTATATATCATTCCCCGAATCCACCTCTTTCGCAGAGACGGCCTTGGCTCGGATCACTGCAAGGGAAAGGTGAGGTAAGTGAAGGTGACCAGTCCCGCTCAGCCCCTGCCTCCCACAGTGATTCCCACACAGCAGACCCCACTGCCCTCCCTGCAGATGCTCAGCTGTCCACAGAGCCAACTGTCCCCTGCTGTCCCCAAAGGGACAGGGCTCTGGCACGTGCATGACAGTGACTGGCAGCATTGCAACAGCACCCTCCAGGTGGGTGATAAGGAAAGGTCATCTCAGGATTGCCCAGCCCTGCTGCCACCACCTGTGCCGGACCATTCACCCTTGGCTGGTGCTGGCTCGGTCTCTGATGGATTCCTGGATGCAGGCTGGCCCTGTCCGAACTTGTGCCCATCACCCAGATGGCACAGAGAGTTAAAATCGGCCTGCAGTGTCCTGGGAGCACTGTGGTGTTTGTTCCACTGTCATTAATTAAACCAGACCCTGATAAGGGCCCCATCCAGGTGCCCGAGTGGCCTGGCCAGGCCAGAGGAGGGAAGGGCAGAGGCAGCGATTTGGACAATTATCTTCAAGTAAGAATCACCTTACAGAGGGTAGCAGAGCCATGTTCCTGTGGCACAATCCCAGCTGCTCGCCAAGGCTAGTGTGGGCACCAGCACTGCCCACCAAACACCAGCACCTCTTGCTGGGGTCCCCAGCCTCACCAGACCCTTGCTAGCCTCTCTGCACCCAATGCTGGGAGAGCAAGGGTCCCAGGACAAGGCTGCCCTTGCACCCTGGAGCACAGGGGATCTGTCCCACCACAGTGGGGTCCCAGCTGCACCAGGGAGATGCTCCAGCTGCTGGTTCCTGCCTCACATGGAGCATCGTGCTGTGCAGGCGCAGAACCCGCATCCTCCCAGGACCAGGGCCACGGGTGTTGCTTCCCGCCCTTGCTGCCTGAAAACCAATCCGGGACACTGAGAGCTGCGGCAACGGGAAAACATGTCCTGTTGAGAGGAGGCAGTGAGGGCCCAGCCAGCAGCCCTGAGCAGCCTGGCCAAAGGCAACAGTCCTCTCAGCGCTGGTGGCCCTGGGGCGGTCCCAGCACTGGGTGCTGAAGGACGAGGTTGGGAGCCCCAGGGCTGGAGAGGTGTGGCACCCTGAGCCTGGGATAGCTCTGCCATGGCAGGGTCCCTGCGGTCATGCTGCCCACACAGCCCAGGATACACGATCCAGCATGTGAGCGCTCAGCACGTGGCAGTGACGCGCAGGGCACCGGGCGGGCAGGGCAGGCAGCCAGCTCACCCTTACTCACCAGCTGGGACAGGGGGCTGGCTTGGTGCTCTGCTGTGCGAGTTGCCTGGGTCCCCATGCTGAGACCTGCAGCGCCCAGCCCTGCCTGCCTCCCTGCACTGGTAGGACACCTGGCTGCAGGGGATGGGCTGGCAGGACTCCCCGCTCTGCTGGGGTACCTCCATTCCATGGGAAAGCCAACCCCCTCTCCTGCAGGACTCCCTGGTGCCCTCCTATCTTTGTGTGTGTGCTGTGGGGCAGGGGACAGGGAGCTGGGCACTCTCACAGAGTTCATCCCGGCTCGTGTCCTCACCAAAAATGTGCTGGGCTGGGAGCAGCCAGGGACATGTGGGGGTCACCCACAGCTTGGCACAGATGAGCTTTTCCCACCTGGCATGGGCAGGAGAGAGGAATCTGACCATGGTCTATAAATACTGCTGGGCATGGGGGCACGTGGATGGGCTATTTCAGCTGAAGGTCAGGGGGGCACAGCCACACGTGGGCACCAGCAGAGCTTACTCTGGAAAGGTGAGGGTGGCTCCAGTGTGAGCAGGGACCAG